TCATTATGCAAATTACCCCCAAAAATCAATAAAACCGGCTTTAACTTTGTAAACTTGTATTTTATCGGGATTCTGAAAGCGCCATCGGAAAGAGGAGGGTCGATTCCCCCGGGTGACGGAGAATTAGGGCATTTTGGACACGGGAAGGCCCTCAAATCGGGCCTCGAAAGTGACATCCACACACACACACAGAGATACACCCCAAAATTATATAAGGTATAGGATTGTCCGAGCCCCCAAGACTTGCAGCTTTTGTGTCACCCTTGAATTCAACTGATAAGACCCCTACTGAGTGACTCACCCTCCAATTTTGTCTACAAGAAAGCACGCGTAGCCAAAAAAACAGAGGCTGGTGTTTTGCGAGACGCGGAATTTGTTGAATTTTTTGGATTAAAATGGTTTCTGCACAGCCGTATCTCTCTAAATATTGCCGTTTCTCTATTTCTCTCTCTCACTCACTCTCTCTCTCTCTCGCTCTCCATCTCTCTGTCTCCTCTCTCCTTCGACTCGTTCTAACTCAGCTTCTCTATCTTTCCCTCGACCTCTCTCTCTCTCTCTCTCTCTCTCTCTCTCTCTCTCTCTCTCTCTCTCTCACTCTCTCACTCTCTCTCTCTCTCTCTCTCTCTCTCTCTCTCTCTCTCTCTCTCTCGCAAAACCTCCAAACGCTTTTTCACCTTCGTTACCTAGTCGATAAGCAGGGAAATTCCGACGCTTTCTCCCCCCCCCGATTTTGACCGCTTACGCAATCAAAATCGGTTATTCAGCTTCAACCCCGCTCCACGACGACGCGAACAACGAGCAACTCGGAACCGGATCTACCCCCGGCCACCAGCCAGGCTTCATCAACCGTTCTCCCACCTCCGGAAGTCGATCTGGGCCCCCTGTCGTGTCCGTTGATGAAGGCCGACGCCAGCTTTGATGGGCTAGGTGAGCTTAGGTTTTGCGCATAGTTACTGTAGCCTTGAGCCGGCGCAGATCGTACCTGTTGACATTCAAGGAACATAAGCAATTTTCAGCTATTCAGAATTATACTTACGGATTAGCGGAGACTTCCTGTTTCAGACGAGATTGCACGACGCCCAAGGCGGGCTGAGGGCAGCGCCGAGACCGTAACCGACAGCTCACGAAAAACCTCCCACGTCCGCAACGTCAGCGACTGCTCGACCATCATCAAAAGCGCCTTCAAGCCGTACAGCCAGACGAAGGAGAGCCAGGGGGAGGAGCGACAGGTTGGCGAGAATTATTTTCTAGGGTAATTTTGTCACTTAGTGGAACCCGTTCACCTCTGCGCCGTATGGGGCTGGTGAGGGAATGGACGACTCGAGATTTGGGGCCTGCTTTGACGAGCTTCCGCGAAACTCCAACCAGGAAGGTCGGAGAGTTTGAGCGATTTTAAAGGGACTTGGAAGCCGAATCGAGTCGGATTTTTCTGGGACTTGGAAGTGAATTTTTTAAGTGATTTTTGCCGCGATTTTCTACTCCTAATTTTCGGCGTTTTTATTTTGTGTATCTTGATTTTTCAAATTTCTCAAAAAATCGCCAAATCTTATGCAAAAAATTTTCGTTGAGATGGAAATTCGAGATTGAAAAATTTCGTCATTACGAAGCAGATCATCAAGGCCTGTCCTCCTTTCCATAGCGTAATCTATTGCGCGACCGCGCCTTGCCGGTCCCTTTAAAGAGACCGATCAGTCGAGCGACGTTTCCCAATCCCTTTAAAACCTATAATTCCAGTCTCCGAACTGCTCGACGAGATGGACGGGTGCTCGATCGACTCGAAGGACCCGTTCGGTGCAGCCCCATTCGAAGCTCCGCCCCTGGCAGGTAGACATCTACCGCATGAGCATCATCTGCCCCTTCCCGCTATTTCTGACTGTCAACCCCCTCCGCCTTTCCCGGCCCTATCACCCCGTAATGGATCCGAGTCGAATGGGCGGGTTCGCATTCACAAAATTCAAATTTTGGATGGGCCGGCTGTAAAAGGGGAGCGGGCGCCGCCTACGGCACCCAGGACAACTTCACTGTTTAGGGGAGGGTATCGGAATTAGTGTTTGTTTACGGGGTTAGACTTTAAAGGGACCGAGAAGTCATTTTTCCACTATTTTTACGACTTTTGACGTGTCTAGTCGACGGTCCTTTCGAACGCGTTGCAGGCGCGTCGCGTAGTTTCATAGATCTGCCTACGCGCGCGCCAAGCGGGGGAAATTAAGGCCAAAATACGTAGAGTTATGCCCAATTCAGCGTTCTCAAAATTCAAAAATAGCCCGAAAATTAGGATCTGCGAGGCACGCACAGAGCAAAGCGTGCATAGGAATCGCGCGTAGTCGTGCATCAATTTGCGGCTCTTTGAACGTATCTGTCCCTTTAAATTATCTCAATTATTCCCAGTTCACGCTCCTTTTAAAACGCCTGAAAAATCCCTTTAACAAGTTACGGGAAAAAATTTCATATTTATTATGGTTTTTGTAAAAAAAAGCTAATTTTGACGACTTTTCTCAATTTCCAAACTTCAAAAACCCAAAAATCTCTCAAATGTGGCTTTGTACTGTAATAATTAGAGCACGTTATCAAAAATAATAAATACTACTTAGCCCTGAATTTCAATAGATAAGAATTTCGTTTAATTTAAAATAACTTTTTTTGAAAAATCCCAAAGACTCAAAATCCCAAAAATCCGCCCAGTATTACTCTTCCTCGTCGTGATGTGGTGATTCGTGTGATCCTGCTTAATTTTTTTTTGAAGGTTTAGAACTTAAAAAGTGCCTTGCTCGCTCGTGTAAATAGTACATACCTGTACGCCCCAATACGCCTTGCCTCGGATAAAATTTCTATCTGCTATCCATTTCTTGCATCTGCCCCCAAAATGCATGCCAAAGTCCTCAGCTACAACAAGTACACCTTTTCAGAGCGGCGCAAGTTGCGGGGAGAGCGGGAGCGCGACTCGCTCGGGTCGGCCAGTGATCTGGCGAAACAGATACAGGTTGGGGAATTAGTGTTAAAAAGAATACGTCGAAAAAATGCCCTGTCGCGTTTCGTATCACGCTGCGCTTAGCCACTCTGCCGCGTTGCGCCAAGCGGGGCCTGTCGCGTCGCGTATAGCGCAGCTTTCTGGATTACGTATCACACGCCATGTGCGTATCGCTAGAACTGCGCGTTGCATCCCGCCAGAGCTGTGTGTGTCGCGGCTTGTCGCGTCGCGTATCGCGGGATCTGTCGGGTTGCGTATCGGGGGACCTAAAGCGCTGCTTATCGCGAGACCTCACCCGTCGCGTTCCGGGTTACCTCCCGCAAGGCCTGTCGCGTCGCGTATCGCGCGGCTTTTCGGGTTACGCCCCGCGCAGCCTGCCGCGTAGCGTATTGCGCTGAGTCAAGCGACCCATACAGCGTAGCTTCGTATCGAACTGCACGTCGCGCGTCGCGTCGCGTTGGGTGAAGTGTTACGCAAGGCGCGTAGCGTTTCATATCGCTAGCTTGTCGCGTCGCGTATTGCAAGGCTTCCCGCATTGCGTAACACGAGATGAGTAGCTTCGCGTGTCGCAACTAAAGCGAAATTCATAGCCATTCGCTTCCGTTTCTCTTCCGGCTTGCGGGCAAGCGAGCAAAGATCTTTTCGGAATTCTGGTTGAATTGAAGACAAACCTTAATTTTCCAATTTCCAGGAGGACTCTTCGGACATGGATGAAGCCAGAGAAGCGTCGCGACGTCGGTTCAGCTATGAGCATATCGATGGTGAGTCGATAGCTTATAGATTTTTGGGTTTGACAAATTTATTTTTCGGAGTGTATTTATTTTCATCTCTTAGGTGTGGGCGACGACGCGAGCAGTGACAGTCGGGCCAGAACAGAAGACGACAGCAATACTGATGATCAAAAGGTCAAAAAATTGGGGAGTCTCCCAGTAGCTGCTCACAAGTTTTTGCTCAACTTTTTGTACTGTAAATGTTTTTGTAGTTGGACGACGACGAGGACGAGGCGGACGCGTCGCTGACGACGGAGGGTGGGGCCCAGACGGATGAGGAAGGGGGTAGTCGACCTCTGCTTGACGATGATGAGCTCGAGATGGAGCATGAGGTAATTCAGGTGGCAGGGTAGGGATGCAAAAATTGTTGGCTTAAAATCCAAAGGGGGAAAAGCGACATGTCATGACTTATCTTGAATTCCCAGGACAATGACGCGCTGTGGATCGAAGTGAGCGCGAGAAAGTGCACAAATCCCTTCCTCTGCTCCACCCCGCAATTCCAACACCAACCCCCAGCTTTTCGCAACGAGAAAACCCCCGAACCACCGAAGGTTGGAATCTAAATAAATGCAATAAATTTTGATTCCATTCCAGAATCATCCAATCTACCATGTGCCCGCTTCGGGACCCGTGGAACGGCGCGACACGCTGACCTACGAAAAGTGAGCAAATTCGGCACAAACAGTCAATGCGATATTTTTCAGACCTTCCCTTCCCTCGGTACCTCCTCTCAACAGCTTCAAGCGCCCGCCACCCTGCCTCGCCAAGTTACCCCGCTTTTTGCCGTGCCGAGGGCTTCACCGAAGGCTGTGGAAACGATGGTGAAGCCGGTAAATATGGTAAGTTAGCATATCTCATGCATGAAAATGAAGCTGATAGCCGAAGCCAAGCCTAATCCGAGCTTAGACCACGCTTAAGCCTACGTGTAAGCCAAGCCTAAGCCAAGCCTAAGCCCCTAAACCTAACTCAAGCCGAGCTTAAGCCTAGCCCAAGTAAGCCTAAGCCTTGCTAAGCCAAACCTAAGCCAAGTCTAAGCTGAATCTAAACTAAGCCTCAGCCCAGCCTAGATGTCAGTCTCATCCATGCCTAAACCAAGCCTAATCCTAAGCTTAACCTAAGCCAAATCTAAGCGAAGCCAAAGCCAAAGCCCAGCATACGCCTAAGCCGAACTCTAGCAGCTTAGAGTCTATTTTCAGCCAGCGCCACCTGTCCCTGCTAGTGCCCCCGTCGTTGCCTACGAGCCCTCCGGCTGTCGGCACCCTTGTCGACGTCACCGAACCCGAGACGTACCGGGAAGAAACCGTCATCTACCAGGTGCGCTAAATTAGAGCAGTCTAGCAGAGGTTCTGGATGAAAGAGTTGAGTTATTATGACAATAATGATAATAATTTCCAGGCCCCACCACCCGTCCCATCACACAAAACCTCGCGCTCTTCCGCCCAGAACGAGGCGCAGCGGAGTGAAATTTCGGTACAGGTTTGAAGCCTAGAATTAAAATTAAAATTGAACTGAATACGGCTCAATTAATTCTATTTTTAGCTGCTAAGCCGCTCGACCGAGAACGCGGACTCGTTCAGCGCCGTCCACGCAATCGCCTCGTCCTCGCTGGTATCGCAGGCGACCCCGAAAGGGTTTGGCTACTGCAGCCCGTGCACCAAAAAGGAAAAGAAGAAAAGTGTGGCTAGGTGGGTCAGAAGGAGCTGACCTTTAATCGCCAATTTCCTTCTTCAGAAAACCATCGTCCAGCTCTGAAGAATCGCCCCAGACTGACGACAGCGGCGCCGAGATGTTCAGCAGGTTCGGGTTTGGCAAACATTTGAGGAATTTGGAAAATGCCAGCATGGTCAATAAGTAAATAAATGAATTTTGAAAGACATTCTCTAACTTCTCGAGTTCAGCAACACAACCGAGGGCAAGTCGAAGAAGGGCAAGCACAAACTGCGTGGATCCCACTCTTCCGTGGTGGCCGTGGCTCCGACCGAGTTGAAGTTGACCCCGATGGATGTACAGAAATTGCGTGAGTTTTTGACGCTGGCTATTTTTGCCTTCAGCGAGCCTTTAAAAAGCTTTAGGGCGCTTTAAAGGGTCATCGAAGTCAAAAACAGGGCCGCCGTGGGCCTTTTTGCCTGCGGATCCGGTTTAAAAAACAATTTTGAAGATTTAAAAAAATATAAAGAGATGAAAAAGAATGTTTATGCGATTGGAATTCTTTAAAAAAAAAACTAAAAACGAAAATATTTGTGAAAATTTCAGAAAAACGCGGCAGCAGCTCAAAGCGGGGCGACTACAGCGCGGGGGCGGCCAATGCAAGCTTTGTCAACAGCAGTTTTCAGGTGAACAATTTTGTCGCGTAGTACGCCATAGTACTGTGGTTTTACAGTCGTCCGAAAAATCGCAAAAAACCGGCAAAAATTACAATTCCAGGCCGAAGACATCGACTCTCCGCCCCGGGTGCGGAATACCATATTGCAAAAATCTTAACTGATCTAGCGATTTGTTCTGTCTATCTCTCGCTGGTTCTCCCTCTCTCTCTCTCTCTTTCTCTCTCTCTCTCTCTCTTTCTCTCCATTTCCTGCCGAATGGTACCCCCACTTACGGTTGTTTCCCCCCTGGAAAAATCCAACATGTGAAGCTCGCGCGTGCAATTATTATTTTCTTGCTTTCCTATCCCCCTTTGAAAAACCGGTGCAAAGCCGTTACGGTAGCGTTTCCACTATTTATCAACATGCCTCTCTTTTGATGATACAACACGATATTTCACTTATTATTCACTGGCTGTTCTGGATACCAAAAATCTTTTCTTGCAAGCAATCTATCGCGTGTCAAATTAGCATAATATTATGCGAGACTGGTTCTTTTGATGAAGCGGTGATGATAAATATTGATTTGAAGCGTCGTTTGCACAGAAATGATAGCGTTTACGGGTTTTTATAAAAATTGTTTAGGCTTAGGTTTGGCTTTGGCTGAGGCTTAGACTTAAGCTTAGGTTTAAGCTTAGATTATGCTCAGATCTGCTCTAGACCTAGGCTTAGGTTAGACTTAAGCATAAGCCTAGGCTTAGTTTCCGCTTATACCTCGACTTTTCCCGAGCTGGCAGCAGTTATTGAGCAAATTTTCCACAGAATTCAGCGATTTGCATTGAATTTCGCATAGGAGTGACAAAAATCCAATTTTTCCTTCATTTCGAGAGATGCGCGCCCCGATTTTGGCTTTAAAGGTATCGTAATTGTGCCTACATGCCGATCGTGGACGTTTTTCTTGGGTTTTAGGGTTGTCTCGGCTTCTCGAATGGGCTTCTCCTCCTCGGCAGCAGCTTGTTGACCGTTTACCTCTTCATCGTCATCCTGATGGCCGCGCTTGGGCAGTGGGTTCGATTACAACTAGACTTTATAAAAATAGATACTAGAAATAGATGCTTTATATCCTCTATCCCCCGGTAATGCAAACGCTCCATTTCAAGGCAGACGTGCCGTTGCGTGCTGAGTAATCGGGCCGTCGAGCTGCCGGCGAACGACTTCTTCGACTGGAAGGAGGGGCTCAACGACACCATATTGGTGCGATTTTCCTCTGGGTTTTTTCACCTCAAAAAGTTCGCTTTAGCTCCAAAAATGCAACCAGCACATCGCGGCCAAGGGCGAGCAGCACATCGTGACGGACATTGAACGGATGCAGCTGCTGGATGAACAATTGACGGTAGGGTTTCTAGCACGCTAAACAGCAAATTCCCAGCCTAACCTCGCGTACTGTATCTCGGCTCCCCGTTGTCTTATGGAGGTGTAAAATGGACCAAAATACTCGCGAGAGCAAGGCGAACATTTTGGCATACTTTACTGAGTTGTACGAGGTTAGAGTGCAGTTTACCCCCCGGCCGCAACTTTTCAGCCATACAGTCCTATTAATGCGCCGAGTATCTCAAAATGTTCGCCGTGGTCGAATTACTATAAAAAAGTTGTTTTCTTGCGACAAAAATTGCTAAAAAATTTTTTACAAGATTTTGAAAGTTGAAAAGATTAAGCCGCTATGCTTCGATGCACTAGGAGTCTAAAACTCAAATATTTTTATTTTCCGCTATTTTTTTCGACTCAAACGTACTGTAGGCTTATTCTCCAGAGCAAGAGCTACATTTTGGTACTACTGACAGCTCTGTACGTCAAAAGATAGCCGAGATACGAAAACTCACTTTGGAACAGCAAAAATTAACAAAAGAAAATCCAGACTTATAATTGTTCTAAAAAATTTTCTAACAATTTTTGATGTAAGAAAACAACTTTTTTATAGTAATTCGACCACTGCGAACATTTTGAGATACTCGGCGCATTAATAGGACGTATGGCTGAAAAGTTACGGCTGGGGGGGTAAACTGCACTTAAGATTCTCGATTCTTCTTGAAATCTCGATTCCAGCGCCTCAGCCCGGCGGCCAGAGGGAAGACGATTGCATTGTGGGTTTTTGGTGCAGCGAAGGGAGAGCATAACTACGTCCACGTTGGGCGCTTCATCCAAAATTCATAGCCAGGCCTTGCCAGTCCCTTTAATCCCAAATCTTCCCCGTTCAGCATCTGCCTGACGGTCATCAAGTGGTGGGTGGTGATCCCGGTGTTCCTCGGTGGGTCCCTAGTAGGAATGGATACGGTAACTGGAACGTCTTACAGTCGCCATCACCCTGTTGATGATAACGGCTTCATCGTGTCGCGGGCTGTGGTCCGATCGGGATTATTGTATTCAGATACCGGCCATTGTGGCAGCGGTACGTCAAATTCAAAGCAATGGAAACATTTTTTGCAGGTAGTCGTTCTGGCCGGTTTCATCTTCTTGGCCCTCAAGTTCAACAGCGACAGCGGCAAGCTGGGGCTGACCATGCGAAGTTTTTTGGGTAAGTTGGACTTACCGAACCCAGCTTGCCATAGATCCGCAAAATTCTAGCTTTTTCAGTGCCCATCATCGAGCACATCATCTATCTGGCCCTGCTGGTAACGCTGTGCATCTACGCGTGCCGCCGCGAGAAATCGTCGAAGCGCCAAGTGACGCCTCCCGCGAAGAGTTCAGACGCCGCCCCGACGATCGCCTCCCAAAAGTCGATGGCCTCGACGGCCTCGACGCCGAGCCGGAAGTCCCCAGGCCCAGCGTCTTCGAGCCGTTCAGCAGCACCATCTCCGGCACCGCCACCGCAATCCGTGCCGACGCCCTCTTCCCGCGAGCCGATCATTGTGAGCTTATTTTTACTGTTTTAGCATGCTTGAACGGCTCGAACTCGACTGCCAGCTGCAAATCATGACTTTCAGAACGGTACTGGGTCCGCCGAGCCAATGGTCCAGGGGCAATCGGCAGAGAGCGGTGATGCTCATCCTCTACCGGCTGCAAACAACAATAACAACAACCCGCCGACCTTCCTCGCGGCGTCGGGTGGTGGCGAGAAGATCAGCGACGATTCTCCACCACGAGCGCCCGAGAAGCCATTGGCCTACGCGGGTGGCCCTAACCCGGCTGATACCTGGTAGATACGGTATGTGGAGGGATGGGCGAGCTAGCAGGGATTCCTGAGGAATACCATTCCCGTTAAGTTAGCAGTGAGCCCTAGATTTTTCCGTGCTCGAAGCGCAACTACTTTCGAATTTCAGAAACTTGCCGATGACGTCGACATCCCACTCGAAATGCCGACCAAACAACCGTCCCATTAATACTCCACGCGAGACTTTTCGAACCGTATTTTCTTCAAACCGATGGCTGTCTGTGTATTGTGGTCTTGTGGTCTTGTGGCCCGGGCAAGCAGAAATAAAGTGTTTGTACCTCATGCTCAATTTTGGGCTGATGCTCAGGATCTTCTCAAGCGCAGACGGAGACTCAGGCTCAAGGCTTAAGCGTACGCTTAGGCTTATACTTCGGTTAGGCTTAGACCTTAGCTCAGACTCTTGCTCAAGTTCAAGATTAGGGTTAGGCTAAGGCTCATGCTCATACCTCATGCCTCAGGCTCATACCGTGGCTCAGGCTCAAGTTCATGCTTAGGCTATTTGACTAAACACTTTTATGATTTATTAGACCTTAACATTTCCCTCAAAATCCAACTCGATCTGCACATAGCCCGGGGGCATATTTGGGTAGGTGGACGGCGGCACGGTAGAGACCGGAGGAGGGGCACCGCCCACTTGACATTGAGACTGTCATCCAGCAGGGCCACTTGAAATGATTGAGAGCCACCGAAGGCGGGAGGCCCACTTTGGCAGTTGGGCCACTTTTGTATTCATCTACCTGGGTGTATTCCGATTCGGCCAAAAGCTGGGAATTCGAAATTCAATCCGAAAATTTGGGATCGATTCTATCGTCTTCGAGCGCCTTGAGATGTCTTGCTTGAGCTTGCTGCCTATGTCTCTAGCTCTCTCGCTCGCTCTCTCTCCCCCTCTCTCTCTTTTCCCCTCTCTCGCTCTCTCCCCCTCTCACCTTACCTCTCTCTCGCCTCTCTCTCCTTATCTCTCTCTCACTCTCTCTCCCTCTCTCTCTTTCTGTCTCTCTCTTTCCCCCTCTCTCTCCCTCTCTCTCTCTCTCTCTCTCTCTCTCTCTCTCTCTCTCTTTCTCGCTCTCTCTCCCAAAACCAATCGCCGCTGACAAGTCGGTGGCCGGTAGTGATCCAAATTCGCATCGGCCGGATCAATATCCGCCATCGTCTTGCCGTCCGCGATTTATTCTTGCCGTTTTCGTCCCCCTACCGTAATCCGCGACTCATTTCGTCTACCGTATACCATTCAAATCTCTTTATTTCCATGAAAAATCCAAAAAAGACACAAAAATGGATGGACATGGAAAGGGGCGGGTACGAGTTTAGTGTTCCTGGTTCCGGTCGTTATTTTCGATTTTTTTTCTTGATGTTGTTGTAGCTGTTGGGCTGCCGATGCGGGCGGTGCCTGAAAAAGAATGAAATCCTTGAACTCCTTGCAGACGCCGTTGGCAGATTAGCTCCGCGACCCGACCGCAATGTGTCTCACCCCTAAATCGCGGCCACGATAGTCGGCGTGGCGACGACGTCCTTATTGGGGGCTTGGGCCTGGCTGTTAGTCGACTAAAATGATCATCTACAGGATGGATTGATCATCTACCTTGCTGGACGGCTTGGGGCTGGGTGTGGTCGGGGGCTTTCCGCTTTTATTCCCGCCGGCCGGCGCTGGCCAGCCCCCAGTCTCCTTGATACCCTTCCGCTTCCAATACCCCTCATCGTTGGCCGACGCGTAGTAGCAGAAGCCGATGGTGAGCACGAGGTAGATGAACGAGCTGACGACTTGGCCTAGGAGGATAGGCATAAAGGTGTAGGCCCGACAAAAAGACATTCTGGAAGGAAGTTATCGGACCGTACCGGACAGTGTCCTGGCAGCAAGACTGCTCGCATCACCGGCGATGCGCAGCACCATCCAAGCCGTGCCGAACAGGGTCAGCATCAACATCTACGGGGTGGGGTTGGATTGAGTGTCCAAGGCTCGCTGACCGTGCAACAAACAGAGGCTGGATGCCATCCGCATTGCGTATCGTGGAAGAGACCGATACATGAGAGACAGGCGGCCAGAACGGCGAAGAACAGCACGATGCCGAGGGGAATGCCCAGCCACCACCATTGGGAGAGGGTGCAGGTTCTAGATGGGTGGATTGGGAGTGAGAGAGAGAGAGAGAGCGAGAGAGAGCGAGAGAGGGCGAGAGAGCGAGAGAGCGAGAGAGACAGAAGGACAGAGAGAGAGAAAGCGAGAGAGAGCGAGTGAGACTTAAAGACAGAGAGAGAGAGGAGAGAGAGAGAGAGAAAGCGAGAGAGCGAGCGAGACATAAAGACAGAGAGAGACAGAGAGAGAGAGACAGACAGACAGACAGACAGACAGAGACACACAGACGATTTCCGTATTCCAGCCAAGACCTACGTGATGATTTTCCCCGCGGCATCTCTCTCCACTCCCTCCTGAAAATTTTATTTAAGAATCGCGGCTTTTAAACCCTGGTGCTATTTATATATAAAAAAATGAGAGATAGCGTCATATTTTGGTGGGATAAAAAACATAAAATATATATCAGTTCCAATCTAACATTAAATTTTTTTGGAAAGATTTGTAGGGGTTCTTTTACTCAACAATAATTAAAAACAAGATACAACGGCATCCGCTCTTCATAAAAAATCCAGGCTTGCGGCCAAATAAAGTCGGGTTCAATAGAGTGTTTTTGATAGATAGCCAAAACCGTGGAAATAGTACGAAATTTTGCGAAAATGACTTTTTTCTATATTTTTGTTTTGGTAGTTTGGAAATGATACATTGTTAGTAAGATACTTACTTTATTAAGAGGCTAAAAATTGGCCCGGAAAACTGTTTAAATGTTTTTGACCCACGTTGACACGTGCGAGCCAATTTTTGAATGCGTCCGTCTGGTCGGTTTGGACGGCCTCGCTGTCGGCGCTGAACTCCTTGCAGGCCGTGTCCTACAAACGTTGGGCAAAGGTCGTGCTCCAGGCTACGGTTCAGGTTCCCCCAGCTCCTCAGCGACACCTCCTATTAGTGTGCCGAGCATCTCAAAATGTTTGTCGTGGTCGAAAGCGTATAAAAACGTTGTTTCCTTACCGCAAAAAAAAGTTAGAACATTTTTTTGCAAGATTTTGAAAGCTAGAAAGATCAAGTCGCAATGGCACCGTGTAGTTTGTGTGTATTTCCAACTAAAATATTCTCGTTTTTCGATGTTTTTTCGACTCAAACGTACGGTAGTCGTATTTTACAGAGCAAGAGCTACGTTTTGGTACCCTTGCCAGCTCTGTAAGAGTAAGGAACGTCGAGATACGAAAAGTCATTTTGGACCAGGAAAGAGTAATTAAAAAACCCAGTCTTATAATTGTTATAAAAACTTTTTCTAACCATTTTTGATGTAAGAAAACAATTTTTTTCTAGGTTTTCGACCAGGGCGAACATTTTGAGATACTCGGCGCATTGATACGACTTATTGGGCTTATTGGGGGAGGGTAAACTGAACTCTAACCGGCTCCAACCCGGCAGAACCTTACCCAAAACTCGCGATCAGCCTCGTACTGCTTGGCAATTGCTGTGTCCTGGATGCTAAGAAGAGCATACGCGCAACCACACGGGCCTCTAGAATCAACAAGGCTCTTTAGGATTTCCGGGATTTCTGGATTTCCGTGGCCAGCCTTGCCGGTCCCTTTAAAGAAACAAGACCTACTGTATGGATTTGAGGCTGTAGCTGGAGATGAGGGCAACGACGGCCACGATGAGGAACAGGGTGATCGTCCACCCGTGCGAGCAGCCGAGTAGCACCTAATTTGCATACGGTGGGGGCGGCAGGTAATCGAGGATACCTTGACACAAATACACATGGCGCCACCGAGCGGGTAGAGCGTGTGAAAATGGGCATTTTTAGCACCATGGCCCTGGTTTTTCCCTATGTAAATTAGTCGCTAAGGGGGAATCTTATGCAAATTATGGAAAAAGTAGAATTTTTGGTTTTTGGGTGAATGGGAGCAATTTTTGAGAATTTTGATTTATTCAAATTTTTGATGACCGGTCGCCGTATGTAAAGAGAGAGAGAGAGAGAGAGAGAGAGAGAGAGAGAGCGATAGGGAAATATTTTTACGAATCCAATTCCACGGCAATACTTTATTCGGGAAGCGGGCCTGGTGCGTTGCCAAGAAATACACATAGAGTGGGAGAAACGGATACGATAGAACGAAATCAGCCGCACAACGGTGGATAGATAGTGTGGATCGTTGCATACGGGTCGGGCCGGCGGAGTGTCGAGAGGATTTGGGCGGAATTCGTGAAGAGAATGGTGGTCAGCTTGGCTCTGAAAGGTTTGATAGTTCAAGGGTGCCGTTTTTGGGCAAAACTGCGTGAACGCATTCGAATTCCCCCGCTAACGAACTAAAACATTAAAAATTTAAAGAAGGGGAACAACCAAATTTTCGCCCCCCCCCCTTCCCCCGATAAGAGGCCAGTACCTAATGACCTTCACTCACCATTTTCTTCCCTTCTTTCCACGGACCTCGCGGCGCGCCTTCTCCTGGAAGGTGTGCACGATGTAGGCGACGATCAGGCCCGCGTAGATGGCGTAGATGACTGGGCCGCCTGCAGTTTGTAGATGTACAGCTACGGTAAGCCAGCCGCCTACACGTTATGACCGAGCGGCTCCATGTGCGATAGATGGTGGCCTGGTAGATGGCAAAGCCGGAGATGCAGAACATCACCACCTAGGCGGGGGGAATCGTTGCTAGAGAGGCGTTGGATACGGTAAAGGCGAGCACCGGAATGTGCCAAATAAATTGAGTCTCCTTTTTCAGGCCGAAGCACGAGACGACGGCGGATGCGATGGCCAGCAGCATCACTGGAAATTGGGCTTGGGTTTAGGTTTAGCCTTAGGCCTAGGCTTAGGCTTAGGCTTAGGCTTAGGCTTCGGCTTAGGCTTAGGCTTCGGCTTAGGTTAGGCTTAGGCTTAGGCTTAGGCTTAGGCTTACCTTAGGCTTAGGCTTACCTTAGGCTTAGGCTTAGGCTTAGGCTTAGGCCTAGGCTTAGGTTTAGGTTTAGGCTTCGGCTTAGGCTTAGGCTTAGGCTTAGGTTAGGCTTAGGCTTAGGCTTAGGCTTAGGCTTAGCTTAGGCTTAGGCTTAAGCTTAGGCTTAGGCTTAGGCTTTTTGGGCTTTGCCTTAGGCCTGGACCAACCAAGAACTGCGAAGATATAGAGGCGCGACGAGGTTACGGGCGAGCAGCGGCTGTAATTTTTTGTGTTTTTCGCGAGAGAGAGAGAGAGAGAGAGAGAGAGAGAGATTCAGACAGCCAGACTGTACCTACATGATAAGCATCTGCAACTCTTTCTCCACCTTGTCGGTGATCTCGCTTTCTTTGCGATCGTCCCAGTAGGCCTGTAGGATATGTTTTCTGAGATTCGGCCTTTATCTGACCTTCTTGGTATCTTCGGTGACATCGGCGAGGAGTTCGGCGCTGGTCTTCTTGTAGTCTATGGTGGCGTTTGCCGCCGGGTCGCATCGTTCGTACTATAACAATTTATCAGTGTCTCTGCCAGTGACCTACCCATGTTTTGGCCTCGTCGACGAGCGGCTGATAGTCCTTATCCTTCTTGTGCAAATTTTCGGCCACCGTCTTCATGCCGCACACACACGGGTGCCAGAAATAGGGGTACGGTAGAATGGGCAGGGGTTGGGTACAGTGGAGTTGGTACCAGATATTTAATTCGACGAATTAGACGAGTTTCTGAACTTGTCCAACTCGTTGGCTTGCGTCGTTTTATACAAGAGTTCTATTCATTGAAGCTAATTTGTGGTGTTTCTCTAGGACTCGATGAACTTGTTCAACTCGTTGGCTTGCGTGGCTTCGCAGACTAGTTCTACGTAATGAAGCGAATTTGTTGTGTTTCTCGAGGTCTCGCTGAACTTGTCCAACTCGTTGGCTTGCGTGGTTTCGATGCGGATTTTTAATTAGTGAAGAGTAGTTAGGCTTCTAAAGGACTCGTTGAACTCGTCGAGCTAATCCACATTTGAGGTTATGAGGATCGGTTTAGCAAATTATTTACTCGTTGAGCCCGGCGACGATGAGCATCCACGCGGCGGACACCAAGGCGATCACGTGCATGACGACGATGAACACGTTGCACCCGGCCATGAACCACTGCAAACCGCAGGTGGGATTGAAGGGCCCCGGAAACTCCGAACTTACCTTCAGAAACTTGCACATCGTTGCGACGGTGTGTCGAAGGTGGAATGACCCTGATTTTTCGAGGGTTAGACTTCGAGGAGATTATGGAAACTGTTCGGATGCAAATAACATATAATTTTTTGATTCGGAAGCGTTTTCGGTACTGAGCGTTTAGCGGGGGGCGGAGAATAATTTTCAGTTTCGGAACCCCGACGCCACACGCAAACACATCTTTCGTCAACAAGCCTTGGCGAACAATTCATTCACGAAGCCGAGCCGATGGTATAAAGACGCAAAAATCACAGCTAAACAGGAACAAGTGGTGGGCGAGTATTTGGAGGGGCAGCAGGGGGGTGTAATTTGAACCACATCGTCGACGGGTAGCAGAGGCGAGCGTAGTCGATCAGCTACGGTTGCTCCTGGAAGGTTAGGTTCATAAGGACGTAAATCCGCCGCATTAAAATCATCATGGAAAACTACTTTCTTTTTTGACATTTTTGGTCGAAAAATTGATGTTTTTTGTATTTTTTAATAGAATTTTGCAAAGTTTTCATGTTTAGGGGTAGTAAAAAATAGTTTAAATTTTTTAAATTGTCAAAATTCAAAAAATTTTGTCTTTTTTTTGGTCATTTTTCACACATTTTTGACCAAAAAGTCAATAATTTTCAAAGATTTTTATGATTTATAGATAGTAAAAGGGCCGTGGAGAATCAAAGCAAAAATTTCGTTCCCCCTGGCAAACGATCCCCCCCCCCCGTTAACCGTTCAGAACCGAAAAATTCCCCCGATAATGCGAAAGTACCTACGCAGCCCACTCACGCGTAACCGGTTGAGTTTTGCCGTCTTTATCCCTTTAATTATCCCCTCCATGGAGATACCTGCGAGAGCTGAGGGCCTTCCGGGAATGACGGCTAGGGCGACGCTTGATCCGTCCATCACTTTGGGCAGATGATCTTCCCGATGACCTGGCGGATCTCTTGGATGGATGTGGAGCCCGTTCGCGATGTGTCGTCGCACGATGGCTGCTGTTTGATCGATGACTCGGCCCATCCGTCACATCGGCTTGGGTGGGTTGGATGGGCAGGAGACGATATTCCTCGCGGGCCGTGTTGTACGCCCAGCGCGCAAAGCCGAGCAGCACCAGCAGGTAGGCGACCAGGTGGACCGGGATGTCTGTAAGCTAGCGATCGTCATTTCGAAAATAGAGTAACGCGTGAGTTGCGCGTTGTATGTCGCGTCCGCGGTAAGATGCGTAACCATGACTTGCCGGTCCCTTGAAACGTACACAGAGCCAAGAGGGTGTAAAGCCAGTCACGCAACACACTAGCCGTATGCCAGAGGAGCACCGCCGAGAGGATGAGGGCGATCGCCTGATTGGGAAAAACCATAGGTTAAAAATGCCGACAGGGTGGGGACGCAAAATGCAGACAGCCAGAATGCCGACCCGTCGGACGAGACAATCCATTGTCGGCATTTTTGCCAGCCCGAAAAAAAACCAAAAAAAATTGGATACCGTGGCGCAGATGGCGGGCGTCTGCCAGCCCCACTGGTTCTCATTCCACGATCCGATACATGAGAGCACCGTCGCGAAGATGGCAAAGATGGGCACTGCAAGGAAGTATTGGCTTTTGTCTTCGTTCTTTCTCTCTCTCACTCTCTCACTCTCACTCTCTCTCTCGCACACTCTCTCTTTCTCTCGCTCCCTCTCGCTCCCTCTCGCTCTATCTCGCTCTCTCTCACTCACTTGCTCTCGCTCACTCTCACTCTATATCACGCTGTCTCACACTCTCCCTCTCGGTCTCTCTTAGTAAAAGCAAGTTAACCCCAAAAAACTTACACAGCACAAACCAGCCAAACACCCAGGCGTTTTGGGAGAGTACACACAGTCTAAAACCGGAAAATAAGAGCGAGAGAGACAGAGAAAGAGAGCGAGAGAGAGAGAGAGAGAGAGAAAGAAATAATTCCCCTACGCATTCGCAACGCACCTATTGACGAATATCATCTTGGATATGGTGAAGTGAGGCATCTCCGTGGAAGTGGTCATGACGATCGGACGGCGTTTCGGAGGGAGTAGTGGAGACTCGACGTGCTCGAGACCGACATTCACTTCCGGCTAAACGGACAGCACGGTTTTAATTATGAAGCCGACTTACCGCATATTTGCCAAGGTCGTACATCTCGTCCATGCGCTTCTCTTTGTCCCGGTTGGCGATGTGGTTCAGCCAGGCCTCGCACTCGTGGCGCTAAAATCGAGGGTTTGACTTGACCCTTCACTGTTCCTTTAAAATCCCTTACATATTCCTCGCGCTGCTGAACGTCGAAACGCATGTAGTTCTTCTCGATTCCTTCGTAGCTGCTGTGGTTCAACGAGACGTCGGGAACCACCGCGAGATAACATGCGCATGGGCCACTAAATGATCAGGAATCAATCTCCTCAATGGTCTCTGCTAGCCCTCCTCAATAGTCTCTGCTAGCTCTCCTCAATGGTCTCTGCTAGCCTGCTGGATCCTCCAAAACCCAGAATTAACGGCTGACCGAATCGTCGATAGAAGTACGGTCAGAGAGCCGAGGACGACGGCGACCAGCAGGTTGTAGATGATGTTGTACCCATTGACGAGCCGTACGAACGTCTACTGCATTTGAAAGAGAACAAAAACGAGCAACCTTTAGCTTGCAGCACATTGTGGGAGTGAGCGGATTTTCGAATGGTTTTGATGTTAATTAGCATGATCGGATGCAAAGATGGCAGGCTAGCAGAGACCATTGAGGAGAGCTAGCAGAAACCATTGAGGAGAGCTAGCAGAAACCATTGAGGAGAGCTAGCAGAAACCATTGAGGAGAGCTAGCAGAAACCATTGAGGAGAGCTAGCAGAAACCATTGAGGAGAGCTAGCAGAAACCATTGAGGAGAGCTAGCAGAAACCATTGAGGAGAGCTAGCAGAGACCATTGAGGAAGGCTAGCATAGACCATTGAGGAGAGCTAGCAGAAACCATTGAGGAGGGCTAGCGGAGGTCATTGAGGAGAGCCAGCAGAAACAATTGAGGAGAGCTAGCAGAGAAAATTTGGGAGAACAATTATAGACCATTGGGCTGGTGTTGGTAGTTTGTAGTTCGTGCTCATTTTAAAGGTTCACACTCTTTATTACTGTGTAGGAGAAAAATCGTAGATCATGAAGTTTGCAAAAATGCATCGGGTTTTGCGAGAAATTGCCGTAACCCGTGCAGCACAAAAATCAATTAAAAAAAATGAAGGGATAGCGTTTTCAAGGCTGCTAAAGCTGGTTAGGGGTGAGATTTGTACGCGCAATTAACAATATTCTAACTGGGAACGAGAGAGACATCGAAAAAGCGAGAAATGGAGAAAAATTATGAAAAGTTTGAGATTCCGCGGGATAGCCACCATAAAGCTTCAAAAAAATTTACAAGACAATAGCACGATTTGTAGGGTTTCTGCTTTAAAAAAATAGTTTTTAGGTGATTGGAGGTTGTTGTTTCGGAGGTGCTGTGTGGACCATTGGTCGATTTTCTTGCTGCGGGCTTTCGGTTGCCTAAAACGGTTGGCATTTTCAGCTTTTTTTTGTTTTATCTATTTTTTCTTTATTTTAATTTATTCAAAAGGTTGTACACTTTAATTTTTCTATTTTTTCACTTACATTATAGCCTCGCATCCGCCGGATACTCCTTCGGATCCACGATTCTTCCGTTTCTGACCGCTTCATCGACAGTCGTTTATGGTTGGCGATTTCCTGAATCGAAGATATGCCTGGTTTGAGCTTTCCTCAATGGTCTCTGCTAGCTCTGCTCAATGGTCTATGCTAGCTCTCCTCAATTTTCTCTGCTAGCTCTCCTCAATGGTCTCTGCTAGCTTTACTGCATTTTTTAGACTCTGCCTCACTCGCTCTCTCTCACTCTCTCTCTCTCTCTCTCTCTCTCTCTCTCTCTCGCTGTCTCTTACTTTATCTCACTATCTCCCGATCTCTCTCACTCGCTCTCTTTCACTCTGTCTCGCTCCCACTCTCTCACTCTTTCTTTCTCACTCGCACTCTCTCGCTCTCTCACTCTCTCGCTCTCTCTCTCGCTCTCACTCTCTGTCTCACGCTCTCTCTCTCTCACCTTATACGGATTCTCGAATCTTCCCTCATAAATCCCATCCGAACTCGGCGACGTCGGCATCGAATGTTCCATATAATCGAGTAGTGCCCTCCTCTTCCTCCTAGATCTGCATATTTCGACAGTTTAGCCAGGTTACTGTAGGCTCACATTTATGAGGGTGGACAGGGAAGTTCTAGTTTTTGTAGACTCACCGTTCTTTATAGAAAAGAAGGCCAAAAACGAGGGAAAGGGCGAGGAAGATGAGCATCAACGTCCCGCCAGTGCCCATCGCTATTTGTTCGGCTGGACAAATTAATATTAAAAATTTAAAAACTGCTATAATGTTAAAAAAGCAATATCAAAATTTTACAGGTAATTCAAGACAAAGCTTACTTCTCGAGCCTTCGAAAATGATTGGCGTATCGCAAGTTTCTCCGCCAAAGTTACCGGCACAACTGAAAATCGTAAATATTTATTTTTAGCATTTTTATAGATTTCCTCAAGAATCACTGCTAGTTTGTCCGGCTAAACTATTTCCGCAAAGACTCTCTGCTGTCCATATTTCCTGCTTCCTTTTGGCTAGACTACAATTTTCCGTCAGATTCCACAATAATCACTGCTGGCTTGCCTGTTTTGTCACAAAAAAGCAAATTTCCGCAAAAATCACTGCTGGATTGCCCTTTTTCAAAAGACAATTTCCACAATAATCGATGCTAGAATATCTCCGAATAGAATTTGATTTTTAAAGTATCGAATTCGGCTTCTGGCCTTTCACAAAAAAATGGCTACAATACATTCCAAATGCCAAAAAAGCCAATTTCCGTAAAGCATCTCTGCTAGCACGCCTAATTTTTTTACACCAAAAACTTACAAGCACCGCTCGAGCTTCTTCTCCAGTACGCACACCCCGCCATTGTAGCAGACCTTTTGCGAGGAGGGTGGGCAGGCGAGCATCCCATTTTTAATGGATACCTAGAGAAAAAAGTTTGGCTTCAATTTTAGTACTATTTTATGTTAGAAAATTCGTTAAATTGTGCTTGAAATTGTACCTTTTCCTTCAGTGTGATGGGTTTTGTGAAAACCGAGGGTCCGGCTTTCTCTTGCACCTCACACCGTACACCTCCGCCATGATCGCCCGTCTTGAAGCTGTCCACATTTACGGAAAGCCTGAAAATTAGAAAACTCAAGAAGATACTAGTAAAATTTGTCCGTTAATCCTCAAAAACCTCTGCTAGCTTGCCACTCATTTAGTTTTTGGCAATTTTTTATTTTTATACTTTATTTAAAGTCCTAAAGGATCTCTGCAAGTTACCCAATTCCACAAAGAATCCCTGCTGGCTTGCCTATCCCAAATATTCCGCAAAATCCAAAATAATCACTGCTAGTCTGCCCACCAATTATTTTCCTTGACCGCCTCGAGCTTGGTGGGGCCGCTCTCAAAATTTAAAGTGTCCACGTCAAACGAGTCGCTTTCCACGAGACACCTAAAACGTAGGAGTACGTTACGCTACAGTAAATTCACCTCAGCTCAAAGGCATCTCCTTGCTGGAAATAGAGCTCAGCAGGGTCGGGGTCATCTGAAAAATGGCGTTTTAAAGATCCATAGAAGGCAGGATACCAGGATTTAGTATCACTTCGTAGACCAGGTTTACTTTGGAGTCTTTTGAACTGCGACGTATTCTTACCGAATCGCCCATCTTGGGGGTACGCTGAAAAGTGATTATGGGTGTGAAAAACTTAGAAATTAAAATGGAAAAAAGTGAATTTCAAAAATAGTTTTGAAATTGTAAAATTTAAAGGTTCGGAAAAATGCTGGCAAGCTAGCAGAGATCTTTGGAGAAGCGTTCAAAAATAATCGAGGCTGGCTAGCAAATATTCTTAAGGCGAGATAGCAGAGATGATTTCGGATCATTTTAGGAGCACTTTTCAGGGGAAACTAGCAGAGATTCCTGTGGAATGTGTAAGACCAAGGAGGGAAGCTTGCAAAGGCCATTGAGGAATTAGTTTCAGGTGGCTAACGAATTGGCAAACCTGCCGGAAACTGGAAAAACCTGGAATGTGTGCGGGGTGTGCACAGTTTTCTTGGGCGGGCAAGATGAAAGAGAGAGAGAGAGAGAGAGAGAGAGAGAAACAGAAAGACGGAGTAAATGGGGCGTGAAAGCTCAAGCCAAGTGAGTGAGTCATCAGCTCCCATCCCAGCACACTTGGCTGTGGATCCGTGGATCAAACAATAGAAAGACACGGCCCATATCGTTGGCTTACGGTATCCACATCTGTGCTGGGAAAGTCGTTGGGATTGAGGTGACCGTCTAATGGCTTTTTCTCTATCCTCCCCATGCCCTTCAACGATAAATTCGTCACCCCGTACCACGTAGAGGGCAAATGACGCAATCCCTACGAATTTCTGGTGGGGTGGAAAGTTAGGGAAATTTGAATAGGGGGTGGTTTGGCTTAGGCTTAGGTTACGCATAGGCTTAGGCTTAGGCTTAGGCTTAGGCTTAGGCTTAGGTTTAGGCTTGGGCTTAGGCTTAGGCTTAGGTTTAGGCTTAGGCTTAGGCTTAGGCTTAGGCTTAGGCTTAGGCTTAGGCTTACAAGGGAACCTCACGGAGACATGGTGGAATTTCGGAAAACGCTCGCGGCTACCCCCGGGTAATCGGCCATTGCGATCACGATGCGCTTGTCAGATTTTTCTAAATAGACCTGTGGACAGAGATACAGCACTTCCGGAAAATGCTGATTTACATGCAAAAAATTTGCATAGAAGGATGGTTTATGAGGCTCTCCCATCACTATGGAATCACCAGTTGAATGGCCGAGTGGTAAGCCTCTCACTTGGTAGGATGCTGACGAGGGTTCGAATCTGCTTACGATTTTTTCTTTTTGCTTTTTGGCCAGAGATTTTTGTACAAGTCCAAAATCATACGTGGTAAAGTACTTTTAAATTTTATGCCAGTTGTCGACGTTACGTGGTCAGAAAATTATTCTTGTAAAATTTTTTCATTTTTTGCAGATGTAGGAACTCTAGCCGGCAGAACTCATTTTCATTTTTTGATTTTTTTTCGCCTGAATGGATAAACATTAGGGATTTCGGGTTATTACTGGTAACATTCTGGACTTGTACAAAAATCTCTGGCAAAAAGCAAAAACAAAAAATCGTGAGCGGATCCGAACCCTCGTCAGTATCCTATCAAGCAACTTGCTTACCACTCGGCCATTCAACTGGTGATTCCATAGTGATGGGAGAGCCTCATAAACCATCCTCCTATGCAAATTTTTGGCATGCAAATCAGCATTTTCCGGAAGTGCTGTATCTCTGTCCACAGGTCTATTTAGAAAAATCTGACAAGCGCATCGTGATCGCAATGGCCGATTACCCGGGGGTAGCCGCGAGCGTTTTCCGAAATTCCACCATGTCCTCGTGAGGTTCCCTTGTTAGGCTTGGGTTCCCCCAGCAAAAAAAGAGCAAGCAACCGTGACAAGGTAGCCGCAAACATTGGAGAAATTATGGGTAACCAACAGTTTTTGGAGGCCAAGGCGGACTAGCGGAAATTATTTAAATTTTACATAAAAAATTCCAGCTTTGCTTCTCTGAGAAACCAGAATCTGACCCAGTCCCGATTCGCCGGCAATGGCCGTGCAGAAAAAAGTTTTATGGGCTGACAAACGGGCGGAGCGGGTCCAAGCGGGCAGATAAAAAAAATTTCTGTTTGCGAATGGGGACCGAGGGGCCACGCGGGCCTGGTCCTCGAGTTGCTGTGGCTTCATCCACTCCGGAAAGAGCCCTACAGAAAAAAAAAACTTGGGAAAACCAGGGTCAAAAAACTGTGCGCAACATCTCGAAAACCAAGAAATTGGACGGAATTTGCCAGGCTTTATAGATAAGGGAAGGGTGTACAGAATTAAAAATCCGATCCGGAATGTGAGAAAATGTTTTTCACTGAATTATACATATCTTTAATGCTCCATCCACATACTAGGTCACTTAAAATTGAGTAATTTATTAACGAGAATCTTTGGGACTTCAAAATTCACCCATCACCTCAATGGCCAGAGATCCAAACGCATTCAAAACTTGTAAAATCGGGTAGAGAGCCGGTTAAATAAAATTGTAATAAAAAAGTTTCGCAGGTTTTTACGTGGTTTAAATTCTAAGACATTCAGTTCAACATTTTAAAAGGTATTTAATTCAACAAGAACAATGTACCACAAAATGGTTACACCGGCCTTAAAATAATCAATGTTTGTTTACCGGGCCATTAAAGCTATCTGGAATGTGCTATGAGTCAAGCCCAGATTGTGTGCCTTTTTGGGTATGGAAAGGCGCCAACTACCGTACCGCCAAAGCCGCCGTACCGACTGCCGAAAAGCCGTCTCCCAAAATGCCGACAGTTTCAATCCTGAACCTTCAAAATGCCGAATGCCGAAACCCCTACAGGCCATGATGAACAGAGAGATAGGGAAGGCCAAAATACCGACAAGACCAAACGCCGACAACCGAATGTTACAGCCAAAATACCGACAAGTTGAAAAGCCGAATATCTAAAACCATGATACCGACAAGCCGAAAAGCCGACAGCCCACGACCACAGCAAAATACCGACAAGCCGAGAAGTCTACAGCAGAATGCCGATCACCAAAATACCGACAAGACAGGTTGGCCACAACCCAAATACCGACATGGCAAATTACCCACAGCCATAAAGTGCCGACAAACACAATCCGATGTTCAAAACACCGACAGCAAGCCGATGAGTATGCAACACCGACAAGTCGAAATCTCGAAATTTCCAAACGGAAAATACCGAGAAGCCAAAATCGAGTCGCTGGCAAGAAAAACCTCTCTGTGTTCGACTACGGTAACTTTGGGGGGTGGAAAGTACGGAGCAATACAATGAACACGAACTAGCTAAGTACAACGTCTGGAAGCGTAAGTTTTCGAAAGTCCACGTAAAATTTGGCGCCAGAAGGGGCCGAAGGTGATGTTGGTGGTGCTCCCGGCACCTTTATGTGAATGCTAAAGGCCGCGGAGCATTTCGTATCGGCTCGAATGTGCGGATTGCGTGGTTGAAGTGGATGACTTTCACGAATATGGCGCTGCCCCCCTTCCCCCGCCTACAATACCCTCCACTAAACAAACAGTGACGAAAGTTCTTCCTAGCGAAAATGCCTGACTTTTTCACATATCGTTGCACCGTCTTTTTGACCATATTGCGCAACGGGACGGCCAAAAAAATCCGAAAAAAAGCGAAAGGTGCTAAACCGTGCCAGGCGCGCGGGAAACCGGGTCAAATAATATATCGAAACTCAGGAAAATCAAACCATTTCTACAAAAAATGTTTAAGATAATTATTTAAAGGTCCCGGCAAGTCACGAGTAGAATTTTTCGACGGCTTTCAAAATTTCATACATGCATTGGTTTATAAGTTTTCCAAAAATTCTAAAAACCTATTTGACATTCAAAGATCTCAAAAAAAGCCGTCAACAACGCTAAAGAAGTCAAAAACGCCGTAAAATTTGCTGAAATTGAAAGCACAAATAATTTGCTAGACGGCGCAAAAATATTTTGACAACTCGCTTTGGCAAGCAGGAAAAACACACACCAAACAGCAAAAAATAACTGCTTATATGTAGCTGGCGTTTTTTGATAAATCTCATATCTTTCTGGCCGCTCCCTAGGGTGACTTACCCAGTGACTTTTGCTATCTAGGCAAACACGCCCCGTTTCTGGCCAAAGCCGCCGCCCTGCAGTTGGGGCGAGGTTTGGAAGACCGCGATAAGCGATGCAAAAGAGCACATCGATCACCTGGATCATTTGGCTTTGGCCCGCTTTAGCTAATATTTTTGGCTGGTTTCAAGGTCTCGGCAAGACGATTAGATTTACGTTTTTTGGGATTGTTCGAGATTTTTAAGGTTTTATTTGCCACCGTTAGAAAAATGTGCTCTGGAGAGCATCGAGCAGAAATACTTGCAAAAACTATAAAAATTTTAATGGAAAAAATTACGAAAGTTTAGAGAGCTTTAGGAAGAAAGAGAGTATGAAAACAATTTTTCGATACAATTCTCTAAATTAGCGCAGTTTGTGTGTATTTTTCATCCATTTTTTGTGAAAGTATGCCATAGCAACTTTTCTGTGAACTTTTCAAAATTTTAAAATTTTCTATATTTTTTAATGGATTGCAGGGCCAACCAGAGCAAGGGTAAATACGTAGCCACACGGAAAATCAACATGAAAACCGCCACGATTCCAAATTTTTCGTGAAAATAGATGAATTCCAGAAGGGCGCGCGCGGTTGATGTAGAGCAAAATGTGTGCGCGACCAGGGTGTGACGTGTTAGCGCAGGGCAAAAAACCGCTGCAACGGTGGTTCGTCAAATAGAGGTAGCGATTGGGGAGCAAGCGACGAGGAGGAGCAGGCGGGATTGGGGGGAATCCCCCAACCTGGCTGTTAGATTGGTGCTCGTCAATTGGAATGTTGTGGAAAAACTGATTTTCGAACCCCGGCTTTTTGATTAGTTCGCCGAGGGTTACGGTGGGAATTCGCGGAGGTTTAATTCGGTTGTTATTCGTGGAGTACAATGGGGAGGAAAAACAAAAGTTTTAACGCGAAAATGGTTGGTTGGCGTGGTTTGAAAACGCATAAATAATACTAAAAAGCTACCCGACATGAACGGATTTTTATTTTAGCCGAGAAACGCCTCGTAGCGTAGCATTAAGTATTTTAATAGTATCTTTGGTAAAATTTGGCTATATTTTAAATAGAAAAATATCTTTGAAACATTAAAAAGTCCATAAAAATTCGAAATTTTCGTCGAAAATCGGCCATTTTTGATTGAAAAATCAATGTTTTCGGTTTTTAAGACAAATTTGTAAAATTTTTGCCTTTAGGAATAGCAAAGCTAAGCGGAATTTTTCGCGCTTATTCTGAATCCGCGCCTGATTTTTGCCAAACATTTCTGCTTCGGTTGGTGCGAGTCATGCTCGGTTTTTCTGAGCTAGGCAGACGCGGGCAATTTCGGGCCGGGAGTAGCCGGAGCTTGTTTTTGTTACTTTGATCGATGAAGGGAATTGAAAACCTAGGTATGAACTTTGAAAGGAGCACAAGGCTAAAACCGCAGAGCCACAGTTTCTGTGGGGGGATTACGAAAGGCGGGATGGGGGGGCTTGGGAAGGAGGCACGTTTCTCGACAAGGCAAGCAAACCTTTCACTTTTCCTTGGAGGCAACGGGCACAGATCAGAAAAGGTGTTCGGAGCTGCATAAAAATTAGAGCATTTTGTGGCCTATACGTTCAGGTTTAATTCAATTTCTAGATTTTTAGGAATTTTCTAACATTTTCAATCGCCTCGGAAGCGCTTCCAGATTTTTCGGTAACTTTGAAAAAATTAGTAGGCCGGGCACAATAATTGGAAAAGTGACTATAAGGTGATAAACCCAAAAAAAAATAGAAATAAAGATAAGAAGAAATGGATGTTGATAAATAGATAGATAAAAAGATAATGAAATATACTAGCACACATTTCATCAATATATAATTATTTACGCTTTATGGAGGCCTCTACATCAATATAATATGGTGTTTTATGAAGCCAAATAAAAATCATCAAGCCATGCGCCTCTAAATATCCGGCAAAAATGCCCGAAATTCGAGAAGTCGAGCTCCAGTTTCAGAGCAAAGCGTCAAGAGCAAGAAAAGCGTCAGTGGGAGGAGGAAGAGAGCAGGTCAGTCAGGTGGAAGGGCCAAAATAGAAATAGAAAATCAAATAAGCCCGGAATTTTCGTCATTCCATTCAAGTGATGAGGGCTTCCGGGTTTCGCAGGCATCGCACGCATGGCCATGTGATAAGAATTTCTGCGGCTTCTGGTATGTGGTAATAGCGCTGATTCTTGCGATACAATCTCTAGCTAGCTTTTAAGTATCTTTAAATGGACCGGACGAGAATAATTTTTGAGAACTTAAGTGTGCCTTCACTGTTCCTTTAAATTTTCAAAAAAACGCAACGATTTCTTAAGTTTTTTTTTGTTTTCTGACCTGCCGCGTAAGCGCAGAACGCCTGAAATTTATACCAAGAAAAATTGCCCATTTTGGCGTGTCCATTTTGTAGATTGTCCTGAAAATCTACTTTTATCCGCCCGGAGCTACGGAAGCCATTTTTAACACGATTTTCGTCGAGCGCCCCGTCCGGCTTCAGTGAGCGTCACTCCGTAGCCGGGCGGAATTTTGCATAGTATTTTTGGTTTTTCTTGTAAAGAAAGAGAGAGCGAGAGAGAGAGAGAGAGAGAGAGAGAGAGAGGCCGAGAGAGAGCGAGAGAGTTAGAGACAGAGAGATAGTGTGAGAAAGTGCTAGTGAGAGCAAGAGAGCGCGAGAGAGAGAGAGACAGAGAGAGTGAGAGAGCGAGAGAGCGAGAGAGAGCGAGAGAAAGGCAAGCAGAGTATTTTGTTATAGTTTTTGTACACAGTCTCTTCCATTTTCACCAAATACAGCTTTACCCAGCGCGTCAAATAACATCCAAGTAAAACAATATATATAAATAGAAACAATATATATAAATATAAATAGAATTAACATAATTTACAAACAAAGCAAAAATGCAATTAAAATGACACGTTAGATGGGGTCGACTAGAAGAGAAAAATGACTTTTTCGTGAGCAAAAATTTGAAAAAATGGCAGTTCGTGTGGCAAAAAATACAGCAGAAAAATAGATTGCATATAATTAACTAATTCATACATTTATAAATATAATATATTTACGCAATGATATATCGCGACCCGGTCTTCAACAAACAAACGTTGTAGCCACATCTGAAAATGTACGTGGATTTTCGAAGACATTTTTTATTGGTGTTTTAGATGATTCATGTCTGGTGAGACATTTTGAGCAGGACGTCGCCCACGCGCTTTTATTTGCTTTCTATTTTTTTTTCAGAGTTTGTCGGCATGCCAAGAATGTGCTAAATATCAGGAAAATTCCCAAAGGATCGCCGCTAGCGTGCTTGTATCTTGGAGAAAGTTTAAATAAGCTATAATTATGGCTTGGAGTTGGTTTGCCGTACCTTGGGTTAGATTAGGCTTAAGCTTAGACCTAGGCTAAGCTTAAGATAGGCTCAGGCTGAGGCTTGGGCTTAGGCTTGGCTTAGGCTTATTAGGCTTAAGCTTGGCTTAGGCTTGCTTAGGAGTTTAGGCTTTGGCTTAGGCTTAGGCATAGGCTTAGGTTAGGGCTTGGGCTTGGCCCTAGGCTCATTCTTTGGCTTAGGATTGGGCTTAGGTTTGGGCTTAGGCTTAGTCTGATGCTTAGGCTTAGGCTTAAAGATTGTCCTTTCAAACTTTCCTTCAAATCATCGAGAACAAATTTTCTCCAAAACCGTAGTGGTCCGCGAATTTTTTCAGGTTAGCCTTTTTTCAGAATTTTCAGCTCTTTCAAACCAGCTACGTTGTTTCTCTCAGAATTTCTCGCCTTCCCAATCCCTTTAAAAAGCCAACCTCGTTGGGCAGCATACTCGCGTGTGGACGGCTGTCTGTCGGCATTCGCTGTGTTGCGTGCACCACGAAACGCCAGAATTAAGCGGTGTTCGGCACCAGATTGGGATGTCATCCAGTTGAGGACATTGATCGGGCACGGCCACCGAGGAGGCCACTAGAAATGCGATTTTTGCTCATGGATTTAGTTCACTGGCTTTTAAAAAACTCTTAAGATCCGCCAAGTTACGATCTTTACGGTGATTGCCTTCATAGGTTTTTTAAAACCGCTAAAAGTTCTTGAAAATCCATTACAATCAATTTTTTCGGCGATTTTCAACGTTTTTAGGGAACGGCGAAGTCAAATCCATAAGATTATTTTAGAAAATTATGGCTTCCCGGTTCCTTTAAAACGAATATAGGGGTTTTTATGCAAATTTCCCTACTTCTCGAGATCAAATCGACGGGCTGGCGCGCCGGGATGCACATATTATAGCCACAAGCGGTTGGGCAACACCTAAAAATCGGGGGAATCGTTACGCCGTGAAATTGGGTGGCTCACTTGTGCATCGAGCTCGTCATATGGCAGTCACGGTCGTAGTTGCACCAGCTGATCGATTTCTAGAGGTAATGTTGTTAAAAATGCCTTAAAGGGAGCAGGTCAGGAAGAAAATTTAACAGCAGTCACAACGCTCTAAAGGATCATTAAGAGGGTTGGCAGTCGTCTGATCGAAAAACACCTGATCGAAAATCGCCTGATCGAAAATCGCCTGATCGAAAATTATCGGGGATGAAGGACCAAGCCAGGTGAAATAAAATTTTTCTTGCCCCAGCACCTGGAAGTAATTTGTCATACCATGCTTCGTGGTTAGGCTTAGACTTAGGCTTAGGCTTAGGCACCAACAACGCACTCAACCAACACTTTGGCTGCAAGCACCCGTCCATGTGGAAATTCCTCAACTACCTTCAGAAGTTCGAGCTCAAAACCCGGGTCAAACTGAGACAGCTCCGAGAATACGCGCATGCCCCGAAGAAACGCGACCGGACGACGCTCGACGAGCAGCAGAAAATATGCTACAACTTTGATAAGGATTTGCTTTGCTTTGCGATTTTCGATCAGTTGACTTTTCGATCAGACGATTTTCGATCAGACGACTTTTCGATCAGACGATTTTCGATCAGGCGATTTTTCGATCAGGCGATTTTTCGATCAGGCGATTTTCGATCAGGAGATTTTCGATCAGACGACTTTTCGATCAGACGATTTTCGATCAGGCGATTTTCGATCAGGCGATTTTTCGATCAGGTGACTGGGAATCATTAAGAGGACGGGGAAGGCATGTCTATAGACTTTTCGGGCTGGATTAAAATTGGATTTGGCAGCGCCCGCGACATGCAACGCGTGCCATTAAGATTCCGGAAAATCAGCGTTGCATCAGCGAGCGCATGCGTTGCGTAAGGTAAATGCGTTGCGCATGGCAGGCGTGTGCGTTGCGTTGCGGCGATGAGTGCGTCGCGTTTAGCGGGTGCGAGCGTTGTGTGTCGCAGTATAATACGTCGCGTACCGCACCAGATGCGTCGGGTGTCGCAGGAAGCATGCGTTGCGTGTCAGTGGCCCTTGCGCTGCGTATCACGGTTGTATGCGTTGGATTTCGCGTTTTGTACGCGTTGCGGCTCGCGGGTATATGCGTTGCGTTCGGCGCTTTTCGGTATATGCACGGCGTCTCGCGTGTATCTGCGTTGCGTATCGCGGGTGTATGCGCAGCGTCATGCGGTCGTATGGGATAGCTTGATAGCGTGTCGCGATTGCTCCTGTATTGCGTTTCGCGGGGGCAGACGCTGAATGTCGCGATGGCACGTGCGTGCCTTGCGTTTCCGGCACATTTTTATGCCATTTTTAACGAACCTACCTTTTGCCGACAAACCACTTGCAAATCCTCAGCCGCCGGGCACTGACCACCATTCGAGATTCCCGGAGCGCCGACTTGCTAAATTTCACAAATCTCTAAAATTTTACCCGACCACCGTACCCTGTTGAGTTTGGCATTCGCGCAGCAGGGCTGCCCGCCCACCCAGCAGATGAGGCCCGAGCCGCAGAAGCCCGTTCTGGCGCATTGGGACATGCTGGTGACAACGTGGCACAGGGGGATCGAGCTGGCTAATGCAGGGGTCACGATAGAATGGCTTTTGGGTACCATATGTGTCTACAGCTGCCGGATGGGGTCGGTTAAAATCTCGCTGAACGCTCCATTGCAGTTGTTGGCATTCGGGGCGGGCGACGCCGCGGAGTCGCCAGTAGTCGCACCATTCCACCGAGGAACCTGGGTTAGAGGTTATTTTGTCAAAATTTATAGTATCGAAAAATCAAAAAATAGGATCCATAATTGATTTCTAGCAATTTCATTTTGTCGAAAACCTGCATTTTCGTCTAATTTTCTAAATTTTTTAATGTTATGATACCCCGGAAGTCTAAGGCATCAAAATATTGACCTTGAGCAGCCACATACAACATGGTGAAGATCAGGAGTCGAGGTAGCATGATGAGATCTGGAAAAAATATTTTTGCGGTGCCCTTCCATAGGAAAATCGCGGAAAACATGTCATTTTAGAGCTTTTTTTCTTTAGTCCTGGCTTTTCCTATCCTACCTGGGTCGCGAAATCAATTAAAAACAAACATTTAAACCCGGCCTAACGCAAAATGGGGCCTTTAGCTTCGTCAAGACCCAAAAATTTTGTTACGCAAATGAAATCGCCGGCGATAGAGCTTTGGTAGGCAGCAAAAAAATTACCAAAAAACTGTAGAACAGAAGTAACAAATTAGAACCGAACCTTTTAAAGGCCACTGGGCACAAAATTAAGTTCAAAGTTTTAGCAAGGTGCCGATAAAATAGGAAAAGACAAATATAAAAAAGGAGTTAACACGGTAGGAGCAGATCTTAAAACCTCTTAAAACGCCGGGGCAAGAGAGGCGCAGATGTTAATATGTGAATTAGTACGTCCAACTTCCTGAGCGTGCGCTTTAAACCGTAAACATATTTGAAAATGAGACCCGAGATACCGCAACAAGGTACTCCGATCTACGACGTATCCGTACGGAATTCGTAAGGTCTACCGAGTAAAACCGGTGAAATACGCTACACCCGAACTACCGTAATCCAAGGGAGCTAAAAGGTACAAAATTGGCAACCAAGCCAAACTGATTGTGTCCCAGGACCCGGGCCAATCAAGTCCAATCTAGGGGGCGTGGGAACACACGGACTAGACTGTCCCCCCCCAACTTTTCCCTTTGTTTGCCCCTTGTCCGGGAGATTGTCGATTGGAGTGTAGTGGATGAGGGTGTGGATAGTAGTGGCACGGAACACGAGAGTCCGTGATTCGTCATCACCACCACGGGCAGGGCGGACACGGGCACGGACAAGGGCCAAACCCTACCCTGGCCACTTGACCATAACACCCAAGGGCACACCACTGTCACCAAAGGACTTCTGGAGAGGCTGACGACAAAGGGGGACACTTGAGGGATGGGTGTGAACGTGCCGTTGGATGAGGTTAGACGAGAAGACGTCAGCGAATCGGGGTCTGGACTTGGGAGGCTTAAGCTTTCAGAGGCCTGGCTTTGGTTCAGGCCTAAGCTAGCCAACTAAGCTAGCTCAAAGCTTAAGCCCAGGCGAAACTTGGGCACGAAGCTAGGTTTAAACCGAAGTGTGAAGCCCAAGCTTGAGCCTAGTTACGCGGCCTGAGCCTGGTGCTCCTCCCAGCCTGACAAAGTATAAGCCCAGGCGAAGCTAATCCCAAAGCTAAGCCTCAACAAGAGCTTAAGAGAATCCGGGCTTAACCCAGACCTAAGCCTACGTCAAGTTTCCCCTCAAGTCTAACGAAATCCAAGCCTAACCCTAGGTATCCTAAGTCAAAGCCAAGCCTAAGCCAAGCATAAGTCTGAGCTTAAGCCTAAGCATAAGCCTAAGCCAAGCCTAATACTAAGCCAAAGCGAAAACCCAAGCCTAAGCCTAAGCCTAGGTCTTAACATAAGCCTAAGCCTGAGAAGCCGAAGCCGAAGCTTAAGCCTAATCTTGAATGAAGCTAAGCCAAGCCTAATTAAGTAGGTTAGCCGAATTACCTACTTTAGAGATATATTAAAAAATTATAGCTTTTCAGAAAACACAGACGCAACAAATTCGGAAGTGTCGAAGAATGGTGGGCACATCAGCGGGGTGGTAAAACTGGCCATTTGTTGATGGTCCAGCCGGGGAGGTGCAAAAAAGTGGACGGCGTGATGGTTCGCGGGGTGGGCCGTGAGACTCTCATAATTCAACGCGCGAGAGGACCCTTCTCTCTCACTCTTTCTTTCTCTCTCTCTCTCTCTCTCTCTCTCTCTCTCGTATCATCATCATCATCACCAAAATGCTTTGCAAACAATAGGAGGGAGGCATGGGCCCATTGCCATATCTTTTCCCCTTTGGCTTGCAAATTCGCGCCAATCCCGAACCACTTATCGCATCCTGGGCCGTGATTGTCGAGGACTTCCGGAATTTGGTATTTGGCAGAAAACGGTTAGGGCATTTTTGGAGGCCTTAAAAATTTGCCAGAAAACTTTAGGGATCTGGAAATCGGCTGGAAGAGAAAAATTTTGATTTCTGTCGGTATTTTGGCCACCCAGAACGTGGGCTTGTCGCGATTCTGACTCTCGGCACCTTGGCTGTCGGCATTTTGGTTATCGGTACCTTGGCCCGTCGGTATTTGTCAGGCGGGATTTTGGACTGTCGGGATTCTGGACTGTCAGAATTCTGGCCTGTCGGGATTCACGATGTCGGCATTTTGCATATCGGCTTTTGCGTGTCGGGATTTTGCGTGTCGGCATTCTGGTTTTCGGCATTTTGGCGCTCGGGATTATACCGGGAATCCCCACGCCAAAAAAGCCATCTGAAGTTTTAGAGCTCGGGCTCCGTCTTGGGGAGATTTGTGCTTTTAGCAAAACCCCTGTTTTCCGGATATCTTCATAATTATTCTTTTGGTACCAGCCATTTATTGTCAGATAATTTGTCGCGAAAAGCTTCCTCATTTCATGGAGATCTCGTGCTCAAATCCGTGGCTCTTTGATCCTAAAGGGGCGGGTGGTGATGATCCGCGAAATCGCGGGAGGGCGGGAGGAAGAGCCGGCATTGTTATGCGGCAAGGTCATTCTCGGCAGGGCGAGAGAGAGAGAGCAAGAGAGAGAGATGCAATGCGAGGAAGGGGAGGGTGATAATCTGAGTCGGACTCCCTCTATGTGTTGAGTGTGTTTTCCAATTATGCCATCCTGAGAAATGGGTGGCTGTCAAAATAGTTCCCCCCTCTTGCCTCGGCGCCTTCTCATTCTCCTAGGTTGACATATCGTTCTCCTCGATTGGCAAAGAGGAGCAGGAGGAGGAGAAGGAGGTGGAGTACCTAGGTAGTCAATTTCAACCCCCTCCGCGCCATCACTTCTCAGCAGTAGCCATTGTCTTGGATTGGATCGCGCCCAGGTCCGGATCAGCCAGGCCCTCACTTTTTTTTGCGCCATCCAGCCCCGGAGTCTGCGAGATGGGCCATCCGAGGAGTGTGGCCGCGCTGGTAAGGAATTTTATTGTATTGTGGAAGTCATTTAGATTGAGCACGAACTCGAGACAAGCCTAAACCTAAGCCTAAGCCCACTCCTAATCCGAAGCCTAAGTCTAGACATACTGTAGCTGCAACCATAATTTCCTTAGGATCCGTCCTTTACGGTGCCTTTAATGTAACATCTACCTTGTGGAGCTTCACCAGCTACAGTAACCTGATCTTATCGCTAAGTCCAAGCTTAAGCCAATCTTCGGTCAAGGCTTAGGCCGGATTTGGAGCATACCGTAACATAACCATTCCCCGATTTAATGGAAGCTTTTACGAAAATTGGGCTTTTTGATGTTTTATAGGGACGAGCAAGTCAAAATTGGCTCAAGAAGTTCGAGAAGGTTCCAAGCGCTGCGGGTCGCGACGAGGCCGCGGTGAAAGCCATAGTAAATCCCTGGCCAACAAAATCCATAGTCCTGCTTGGCCTGTCCCTTTAAAAACCCAAGTCAAACTTAGGCCTCATTAGTGTCTGGCCGTATGTCTCGTGCTCCTGTTCATCTCCGGGTCATCCCGAAAACGTGGCGCACCTCGCATTCCACTACCCCGTCTATTTTTGACAGTTCTCGCGGCGATCCGCGCGTGCCGCCCAAATTTGTCGACTGTAATAAGGCGCGGCCATCGAAAACAAAAGTGGAAATCACGGAGTCTCGGGGAGGATGAGCGGGGGCAAAGTTTAAGGAGACGTTGAAAAAGGGGAGATTCGGCTTTTTACGGTGCTTTTAAGGGGCTTTGAAGTAAAAAAAATCTGCGAAAACGGGCAGAGATCAACGCATTCATGACATCGCTATACCGAAAAACACATTTTGTTGAATTTTAAAAAGCTTTTCCGTGTTTTTCATGGCTCTATACGATCAATTTCTTGCCTTCCACGGTCCTTTAAAACGTTTTTTACTATTTCTAAACGTACAAACTATACTAATTTTTAATTTTAATAACAAAAATAAAAAACTTTACGACTATTGACCAAAAATGGCCGTTTTTGAGAAAATGTTTTAATTTTTTTAAACTTAAAGACTTTTTAAAATTTAAAGGTTGTTAGATAATTTTTCTAGTTGAACTATAGCGTAATTCCGTTCAGCTACTCGCCACAGCCCTATTCGCCAGTTGGGATGGCTACGCGAGCGCCCAAACGACACCCCTATTCCCGGTGGCCTGCGAGCTGAACGTGCTGATCGTGTTGGACCGGTCGGGTTAGTGGAGTTGCCAAAAAAATCTCGACTTTCCTGCATTCAGATTCGGTAAAGGGCGGGTTCAACAAGTCGCGCAACTTTGTGCTGGACGTCTCGCAAGAGTTGCAGATTGGCCCCTCGAAGCATCGGGTTTGTTGAAGCTCGTTGTAGAGTTGAAATCAACTATAATTTGTGTAGATTTTCTTTGGTCATTAAGAACCCGTAAAATATTCGTTCTAGGTGGCGATGATCGTCTACTCGGGGCCGAGCTACCGTCGTGAGGTTTTCAAGTGGAATTTCGCGAAGAGCAACGATGAATTTCAACGGATCACCTCGAATTTGAGGGCGATTGGCGGGACGACATCGACGAAAAAAGTCGCTTATTAAGATCCTCGGCCTTGGCTTCGGCCTACGCCTAAGCCTAAGCCAAAACCAAAGCCGAAGCCGAAGCCCATAACCTAGAAATCTTATTGCAGGCACTCGAGGTGGCGAACGAGCTGATGGCAACGCGAGATCAATCGGTGGCCACCCTTGTGATGGTGGTGACCGACGGGCGATCGGCCGACGATCCAAAGCAGCCGGCCTTGAAGCTACGGTAGGGGCAAGATTTAGAAAATTATTCGAATTCAGGCAATTCCCAAACACGTGGGTGTTTGCCGCTTCGACTGGGGATCCAGAGAAAGTCGATATGTGGGTTTAATGACCAATTGCAGTTGTAAACTCATTTCACGCCATTTCCGAGTTTTCCCTCCCTTTAACTAACTCCATTTTTAGGAGAGAACTGAAAGACATCACCGGGGATGAGAATAAAATTGTTACACATCGGGGTCGAGAGCTGGCGACCGATATTGCCAAGCGGATCCTGAGAAAGGTAGATGAGGCTTAGGATCCCTGATATTACCGATTGCAATAGGCCCAAGAGAAATGTCGTACGACCACCTCGACGACCACGACAACTACAACAACCACCACAACAACCACCACTACTACGAATCCCATTACAGGTAAGCCTGAGCCTAAGCATAAGCCTAAGCATAAGCCTAAGCATAAGCCTAGGCTAAGCCTAAGCTAAGCCTTTGCGAGCCCAAGCTAAACCTAAGCTTAAGCCTATGCCTGAACCAAAGCCTAAGACGAAGCCCAAAACTAAGCCTAAACCTGAGCCTAAGCCTAAGTATACGTCTAAGGCTGCCTAAATTCAACCTCAATAATCCCAGGCTGCGAGATGGACCTCGTGTTCGTGATGGACCTGTCCACAACAACAAACCATATCTACAGCTTCTACAAAGACATGGCCGAGAAGCTCGTCAAGTCGTTGATCATCAGCCCCAGGCATACCAGAGGTATCTTTTCTCAAAAACCAAGATCATCTACCGCTTCAGTGGCCCTGATCGGGTTCTCGTCAATCGGGCGGACACGGACCGTGTTCAACCTGAAGAAGTACAAATTCGAGGGGCAGGTACTGCAGGCGTTGGACGAGTTGCAGAGCGCTGGAGGGACGACGGCGATTGGTAGGAGAGAGAGAGAAAGAGAGATAGCGAGAGTCGGGCGATAGCGAGAGAGGCAGAGAGGGATCGAGAGAGAAAGAGAGAGTGAGAGCGAGGGAGAGAAGCGCAAAAGCGAGGGAGGAGGAGAGCGAGAGAGAGAGAGAGAACGAGAGAGGGAGATTGAGAGAGATATCCACCTTCCAGGCCAAGGCATCCTGCAAGCGATGACACAGGCAAACGAGCGCGAAGGTGCCCGACCGAAGCTCGCAACAAAGGTTTGTATTTTACGCTACGGTACGCTACAGAGGACCGTAAATACGGAAATCTCGTACTATCCTCACGTAGGTGATGGTCATCTTCACGGACGGGTGGAACAACAAGGGTCCGGATCCGGAAGCTACGGCCCGAGATGCACACCAAGCCGGCTGGGAGGTGTACGCCGTGGGATTCGCGGTAAAAACTGGTGTTTTGGGTGCATTTTCGGTAGTTTTATAGTGCGGAAGAGCTTGGGTTTCTGTCGTTAAAAGTTTAATTTTAACGACAGAAATTAGAGAAATTAGTTTAATTTTTAATTTTTTAGTTATTTTTAAAAATTAAAAATAGAGGGAAAGCAAGTGTGTAATCAATTAAAATCTTTAGAATTCCTTTAAAATACTGCTTCCCGCGTCGCCTGGACCTCTCAAAAAAAAACCCTCTGAAATGTGTGATGTGCGGCTAGTGCCAACAACAAAAATTAGACTGCCAAAATCCCCCGAGCTTTTGCCGTGATTTTCATCCCGAAAAATGAAGCCCCGGGGCGGTTCAGGCGACGGGGGAAACGAGGATGGTGTTTGAGAGTCGAAAGGGAGATGGGGAGGACGTGCCACTACACGAGATGACTCTCAACGTCCTCGGGTCCGATCGGGCCCATATCTTCTCCGATGAGAACACGCAGCAGATGGTCGAGCGCATCCGGCAGCGGAATGCAAAGTGCTTTGGGCAACCGTTGTAAAAGCCAAAGCCACGTTGAGGCTTTTTAAGATTCTTAAATGCTATTTTATTCACTATTTTTGCGCAAATCGGGTGTTTTGAGGTTTTTGGAGTATTTTTTGACTCAGATCATCCTTTATAAGCCTTGTTTTAAGCTTTTTAAAACTATTTTAAGACCCAACACGTGTTATTTACATATATTCATGCCTAAGGAGCTCAAAAAAAATAGGCAAAAACCCATGGAAAATGCAAAAGCTTGCGAATTTTTGTAATTTTTTGATTTTCACATATTTGGCAACTGTAAATTTGCTATCATATCTAAGTACTGTACCAAAAGGTGAAGAAATCTCGGAGATCTTCAAAAATAACCCGAAAAAACCTCGAAATTCCCGAATTTTTCCGACCATATGCCATTGTCTTAAAGGGGTGGGGAAGCGTGGAAATCGACCCTTTCTCTGGACTAGGTACAGACAACTACATGCCGCTCCCAAACAACGTCCGAATTTCATCGTTTTTGATTTAAAGGGAGGCCAAGACTCCCAACTTCGCTGGCTGTAGATTTTTAACGTTCCATTGAAACGGCACTAAACCGAGGTATCGCACACGTCATTTGGCTTGTAGTGTAGTTGTCGAGACCTAGTAAGTTGCGGGGGTCGATTCTCGCGCTTCCTGGTCCTTAAAGATCCCCCGATCTCATCGCGACGCCATTTCCATGCCCGGCCCACGTTTATTGATTTTCGAAAGAACTTATTCAACATCATTTTCCGGTTTAATACTATGTACTCGTACTGTACTACGCTTTATTTATAGTCGTTTAATGAATAAACAATGCACAGCCGTCGTATTTTTATTCGCATTACATCATACAGAGAAATACATAAAGAATACAAAGAATTTATTCGCTTTTTGACGTATTGCTATCACAGGGTCGAATTCACCGTTTTTTGCTAAGGGAGTACTGTAAAATTGGGCGTTAATAATGATACCTATTAACAACAATTAGATTACAAAGACTGAAAAATAAATATGGATGAAAACTACAAAAAAAAACATTCATGGGCTATGGCTCGGTGGTAACTCTATAATACGTATCATCCTCCGGATTATAATAGCAATCAAAATCCGCGTCGTAGATTAGGCCGGCCATCGCGTCTGATGAGAAATCAGTGGATTTCTGAAAAATAGCAAGTTCTTGCTTAGCTTCGGCTTATCATCGGCTTGGCTTAGGCCTGCCGCAACGCAATACGCAACGCGTTCCCCGGATTTCATTGCGTAATGCCCCAAGCCGATCACAGAATCCAACCCGATCGCGGAAAACAATTACGATTCTAACAAAAAAATCTAAAGCCCCGTTGTTTCTATCCTTTTAGTGGGAACCGGCTGATCTCAAATGGTCTCTGCTAGGTGACCGCTGAAAATACCTGAGATCGCTGGGTCGAGGAGGTCTTCTCGTGTCGAAAGCCCTGAAGTCGGTCCTCCCTGAAAAAATCCGAAATTTTAGGCATTTTTTCTGTCAGGCTGCCTTTAAAGTCGACGCGTAGCGGGTCGACGTATCGCGCGTACGTCTGGCTTTCCTCGTGGCACTTTAGCGTTTAAGAGAAATGTACCTCACGACCACGACGCGACCGCAACGCGCCATCACAACCAGATAACCGAAAACCTTACATTTCTCGGATAATATGCCGGCCATCCGTACCCCCTTGGCTATGAGCCGAGTGAGCTCTTCTCCGTATCGCTTGCGGCGTTCCGTCGAGCTCCTAAAAACGGTTCTAATGGTCTATATACATACATTGCGTCAGATACAGATAGATGCGTCCCTTTAGCCTGACCTACCTTTTGCTTGGTGAGCCTGGGGTGCGGATGAGCACTCTGAGTCCCTCTGCCCGGATTCTGCTGTCGTTTTTCGTGCGTCTCCTCATCAGATAGATCCTCATACTCGTGCTCCCGAAGCGAGTCATCAAACGACCGCGTCGCCTGTCGACTGCCTAGCCTAAAGGAGGCTCTTTTCAAGAAAATCTTGGGGTTTTTTAGACTGCCGACGCACAGCCTGACCCTTTAAGGAAATATCTAGTTGTCCGAAATTTGTACCTACCGTAATCTGGTGATGCTCTTGAGCATGTTCAGCTCCACTGAGTCGGCCGATCGCATCAGCAGGGAATCGGTTGTAGATTGGCGCGAGGTGGTCGATTTGGCTAAAAGATGTTTTTTAGCTTCAGCTTTGAGCATGACCTTCGAATACTTGGGCTTGGTGGGCCTAAGGTTAGGCTTAGGCTTAGCTTATGCTTAGACTTGGGCTTAAACTTAGGATTAGTAGGCTTAGGCTTTGCTTAAGCTTAGGCTTATGCTTAGGCTTCGGCTTAGGCTTACGCTTAGGATTAGGCTTAGCCTTAGCTTAGACATAGCTTGGCTGGGTTAAGCTTAGCTTCCTTGCTAGGCGTAAGCCTGCTCTCAGACGCGTAGCTTAGGTGTAGGTTTAAGCTTGACTTAGCTCATGCTCAGCTGCTAAGCTCATCTCTACCGATTCCCCCTAAAATCCAATCGAAAAATCGGGCCACCGCAGTAGATCAACCAGTTCGCCCCCCACGCTATCCCATTCGACAAGCCAATTTGTCCAGGTATATGTGATATCAGGCGGGGGAACCGGCTTTTCGCCCGGATTCCGCGATGATACGGTATACAGTCGCCCTATTATATGGCCCCGCCGATTGTCCATTATTCAGGACGTCGCGCCGGGAGGTCCGGCTCGCCCCGTGGGGTTCGCTTTTTTGTGCGGGCGTGTGATGCGAACACCAACATATAACTGCCCCCCTTCAATTCCGGGGGGACGATGATTATGACTCGGGCATACTAGTCATCTCTCTCTCTCTTGCTCTCTCTCTCTCTCCTTCTCTCGCTCTCTCTATCGCTCTTTCTCCCGCGAGGCGCGCTATATAAACCCCAGGACGTTCAGATTTTCATATTCTTGTTCCAGGATTCCGGAACTTTCCAAATTACTTGGATGTGAACGGGAGATACGGTAGGCGCTGATTTTTAGAACACCGGTTTTTGACTTTTTGCAAATGATTTACGCTGGTCATTCAGTCTCAGTCCAAGCTTAAGCCCAAGCTTAAGCCCAAACCCAAGCCTAAGCTAAGCCTAAGCCAAGATTAGGCCCAAGCCTAAACCCCAAGTCCAAGCCCAAACTAGGCCGAAGCATAAGCATAAGCTCAAACCGATTCCTACCACTAATTTTAAGACTTTCCTGAACAATCTCTGATGGTAACCCCATTTCTCACGATTTCCAAGCAAAATTCCAAGCTTCGAAAGCCAAGACCAAGCCACAAAAGTTCTCAATGCAAACCAAAGTTTTTCTCATAGTTTTTTTGACCATTTTTCGAGTACGGTACAGACGAGCGATTTTTCGCCACCGGTAGCCACCCCGAAAAGTAAAGCAAAAAAGGTGGATTGGCTTTTCGGTGGTTCCCATCATGAATATTCGCCTAGCAGGGCTATATATTCGATCGGGCAGGGGGCCATCGATTCGGCCAAGACTTTCCATTTCTGCACCTAGCCCTATGCCCCGAAAAAGTACTCCGTTGGTTTTTAGGGACGCTTTCAGGTAGTAGGCTTAGGCTTAGGCTTAAACTTCTCGAACGATCGGCTAAGTCTTCTAAAAGCCCCTGTAAGTACAACTTTAAAGGGGCTTGGACACCAGAAAATTGGGGTTATGGCTTTAGAATAATGTTAACCACATAAATTTTTGCATGATTTTACCAATACAACTCTTGAAAGGCTCCCTCCCATTGATGCCGAAATACCCGAGAACATGGTCAACTTTGTTGGCGGTTTCAAGGGAGCGTCTAACGGGCACAACAAAGTTCACTATGTTCTCGGGGCTACGGCATGATATCGATTACGACCGTTTGCCTTGCATTAATGCCAAGGCTTCTCATTTTCTCTTTCTCTCGCTCTCTCTCACCCCTGCTCTCTCACTCTCTCTCTTTCCCCTCTCTCTCTCTCTCTATCTGCGTTTGGAATATCGATCTGGCGGGATTTTTTATCATGAATTCGACATCTGGCGTTTCGGCATTTTCATAGTAATCCATATGCCCGCCCCCGGAAAAGCCACCCCCAGCCTAGAGCATGGTCCACTTTGTTGCTATGTACATGAGCCCAACAAAGTTTACTATCCTCTCTGATGGGCCCGGCTATAAGTGCCCCTCTCAAAAGCGACGGTACCTGTAGATGGACGCCCGGCCGGTCGTTCCATACGTTGCAGCCGGACAGTTTTGCGCTTCTGAAAATATGGAGTTATGTTTGGATTTCGTTCCGGAAACTCTGGCTTAGGCTTAGGCGTAGGCATGGCTTAAGTTAGGCTTAAGCTTAGTTTTAGGCTTAGGCTTAGGCTTTGGCTTAGGCTAAAGCTTTATTCAGGCTTAGGCTTGGGCATAGGCTTAGGCTTCGCTTAGACTTACACTTCGGCAGCCTTATTTGCGTATTTTCACAAATTACCTCAATCGGCAGCGAGGGCAATCGTGGCGGGACCCGCCGATTGTACGATGGGGCTGGCACGGAGTATTGCGAGGAAAATGATGGGTGCATCGAGCTGATCGAGATCGTTGAAGAGTCCTGTATTAACAAATTGATAAATATTCTTCGTGTTGTATTATGTTCGATTAATGTAAAAAAATAATAAAAAAATAACTCTAAATAAATAAGAAAGTCTTACATCAGGTATTCCATCGATTTCAATCTCTGGCGTCCTGACCAGCACTCGCTCGATACTACGATCCATTACTAAACACGGTGGATCAAGGTAAAAAAATCAGGTTGCTTTTCATTTTTGGATATTTGTAAATTTTATTATATTTTTTTATATTTCTTAATTTTTGGATTCTCAAAGGAATTAAATCACTACTTACTTTGGAATTAAATGTGAAAAATTGCGTATTTAATGATTTCTGCTAATTTTAATACCGGATGGCCATAAAGCTAGGTCGAATACAGAAGTTTTTAGACTTCTAAAACAAAAAACTAAGAATATAGGGCTTACCATCCGGATCGTAATATGTAAAAATATTTGGACGATTCTGGGGAAACATGCTGAGAGTTTTTTAGGGTTGTTTCGACTCGGGTTGAAGCCAAAGAAGCGATGTGGCCGAGTGGGTGGGGGGAGTGAACGTTTCGAAACACGAGACGGATGTGCCATGGCAACCCCTTGGAAGGCGGGTATCTAAAGGAATAGAGGGACCGGGGTACACATACACAAATATACACATACACCCACACAAACATAGACATATTGAATTAGACGATTAGAGGTGAATGAAGGTTTTGATGAATGAGAGAGTGAGATAGAGAGAGAGAGAGAGAGAGAGAGAGAGAGAGTGAGACGAGGGGATGAGAAAGTGAGAGTGAGAGAGAGGGAGAAGAGAGAGGGAGAATAGAGAGCGGCAGAAGAGAGCGAGAGAGTGCGATGGATAGGGAGGGAGAGAGAGATAGAGAGAGAGAGAGAGAGAGAGAGAGAGATAGAGAGAGAGAGAGAGAGAGAGAGAGAGAGAGAGAGAGAGAGAGAGAGGAAAACAGAGGGACAGATGGAGTGTCGAAAAATAATCTAGCGAGTAAGAGATAGAGAGCGTGAGGAAGCGAGAGAGAGCGGGACAGCGAGAGCGAGAGTGAGAGAGTGAGAGAGAGCGCTCGAGAGTGAGAGAAGAAGAGAGTTAGAGAGAAAGATCGCTCTCACGTATTCCTGTATTGAAAGCACGGGTGAGAGGAAGCTATGGATTTTCGTATCGATTTCTCATAGGATCGATAGTCTACGAAATAATAGTCATGCCTTGCTCCTTTAATCCCTTGAATTCGCCTTATCAAAAATACTCCGCTGCAGGACTTTCCAGATATTTTAAAAGCTTCTGCCCCTCAAGAATGACCTCTGAATTGTCAAGAGGCTTCAAGGCAAGCCGGATGGCACCTCGCCACTAAAAATTTCCCAAAAATTTTCTAGTTTCTATGGAACTTTTCGTGCCTGAATTCTCTCCGAAAAATGGGTTTCTCCAAATCCGGAATTTGCATTGTCGGGCCGTGGTCGGCCTGAGACTTCTAGCTTCATATTCGAGAGAGAGAGAGAGAGAGAGAGAGAGAGAGCGACAGAGAGATAGGAGGGGGTCAAGTGAGCGAGATCTCAAGGAGTCACTTCTTATCCACCCCCGTTATCCGCACGTCCGTACTCTGTATTCAGGCGGAATCCGCCCGAAAATATGGACCATAGAGAGAGGCCTCACTTTCGATGGAGGTCCGGCTGGAAAATGGGTTTTCAGGTGGTTGGGTTCGCCTGAATTTTCTCGCTACAGAAATACCGTATCCTTAGGCGGAAATTTGAATATGATAATTTTTACTGTCAAAATTTTATTTTTCGAGATTTTAGCATGTCGGCATTTTGGACTGTCGGTATTTTGGCGATTCCCTCTAATGCCCAAAAATCAGCAAGACTTCTGCCGATCTGCCACACGCATGGCATGATCCCATAAAAGTAGTACCTTGGAATGGGTGTGGGTTCCCCCTAACTCGCCCCCCAAAAAGAAACAGGTAGAGCTCGAACTGGTGCTCCTCTTCCTACTCCTCCGTCCTGCCTTCCTCCCCTTCCCGAGCTTCAACTCCCCAGCCCCCCGTCTCCGATTGCCTAAACGTCCGCCAATTTGTGGGGGTCCGGCTCAACTCAGGTTGAGCACAACCCCCTTCAATCTCACCCCCCTGTCACACTCAAGTACCGTTCGCCCCAGTCGCCCTTTCCATTTCCTTACTATATACGGTCCAAAAAAGGGGCATTGTACAGAGTATGGCATCGTAATTTCCGCCTGGGGATGCGTTCTGACCTTTACCATGTGGGGGTACCTTACAGGTGCTTTTGGAAAAGTGCATGTTTCGGTTGGCTTTAGGCTTATGCTCCGTTTTGAGCTTGAGCTTGGTCGAGAAGGTCGAGGAGCTTCAACTTAAGGTTAGCTCATGCTTACGCTTTGACTCCGACTTGAGCTTACGCTTAGGCCTAGACTGGAACATGCGAAACCAAAAAATTTGTTTCGCATCTCTCTCCCCTCTTTCTCCCTCTCTCCCCTCTTTCTCCCTCTTTCTCTCTCTCTCTCTCTCTCTCTCTCTCTCTCTCTCTCTCCCTCTCTCTTTTGTCTTTTTCTATTTCTTCGCTTCTCCAACATTTTTAGAAGATTTTTTAGACGTGCTCACCAAAAACGCGAAAATTTACTACACGTGATCCTAAAAAATCGCCCTATTCTTGCAATTTCTGCTACTCCAATTCCTCATGCTCCTCGGATGGTGCTCAGGTTGAAGGAGACGCTCTTTACGCTTTTGATTTTCGCAAATCTGACTAGCGGTGAGTTGGGATACTTCTGGTCGCTAAATTTCCTGGATCAAAGTCAGAAGTCATCGTGTGGTGGTGGCTGCTCTAGGGCGAGAGAGAGAGAGAGGAGGAGAGAGAGCGGGAGGGAGAGAGAATGCGAGAGAGAGTGAGAGAGAATGCGACCTTCCGGAAGGCTCCGAATCCGGGTGCCAAATCGGTCACAGGTCACAGTCGAACACCCTGTAGTTGGTCATCTTCGGCTCAGCACTTTTCAGGGTCTTGTGATCTTTTTAGAAAATTAGAAGTAACGTAGACATTTTTGGGTAGCCTTCGTTCTCGAGGGCAATTATGCGAAGCCACAGGTGGCAGACAGAGAGTGAGCGAGAGAGAGAGAGAGAGAGAGAGAGAGAGAGAGAGAGAGAGAGAGAGACAGTTCGCTCTCCCTCTTCCGTGTCGATAAACTAGAGTATGCCGCTCAAAAATGAATTTTTTAACAGGAAAATTCCGAGAATATAGGTTTTTAGGCCACCCGGAAAACACGGAACCGGGCCCCTTCTATCGACATCGGTATGTTGACGTATTTCAATTAAGTAATTTTTTCCAATTTTTTAGGTTCTAATATTTATTCTATAGCAACCAAATCGAAAGTTTCGACATCTATGACATCAATTTTTATAGCTCAACAGAATGGCGACCGCGAGCCCAAAAACCGCAAAGCCGGGGCCAAAAATCCGCCGACGCGGGGCTATTCTCAGCTCTCGGCTATAGGGATGGCCAGCGGGTGATACGGTAGGGCATCCGGGGTTTAGAATTGGAGCACGGAGCTCATATTTTAGTCGGACTCCTCCCCACAAACCACCAATGGCAAAACAGCCGCCAAGTATACGAAGGAGTAGCCATGAGTTGCCGATACGACCGATTGAACTTACGCGGGCCCTGGTCGTTGAGGTTTGGTTGGAAAATCGGCTAATTTTTTGCGGTATCTAAAATTATGGCAACAAATGCCCACAGTACATCCCGAGAACAAAAATGCCGACAATCTAAAGCGCCGACAGCGTCAAATACCGATCTTGAACTCTTCGAACTTGTATCGGTTTTTGTAGGAGACCGACCTACGGCTGTCGGCATTTTCGCGTTCCAGCATTTTGAATTTCCAATTTCTTTGCACAACAGTGCCTTTGCTTGTCGGCCTTTTCCGTTTCGACATCTTCGCCGTCGATATTTTCAATTTGTCGGCGTTTTGATACAAAAGTTTTGCTGTTAGTTTTCGGTCAGCGCATTTTCGCGGTCGAAATTATGGCCTGTCGGCATTTTTGTTGTCGGCATTTTTTGCTGTCGGCATTCCAAGATGAGTTTTCAATTCACTTAATCTTTAGAAACTCCGTCTCAACCAAAGTATCCCAATCGACGATCGCTATCCCGGGAACACGGTATAGAATTATGCTACTTTTTTAATTATACCGAGAAACTTTTATTATTAGGGTTAGCCTTTTAAAATGAGATAAATTATGACCTTATTCGTAAATGATGAAAAATATATTAGAAAACGCCACGCTTCGATAATGCCGAGCGACGCCGGAAGGCGCCAAACTTGAAGGAGTTCGGCGCGAATACGGTGCGAATAAATGGGAAAGTAAGGAATGCAAAATATACTTCTAAATAATTGTAAAAATACAAAAATATTACTAGCCTAATTTTTAGCACCGCGCCGAGGGGCCGACGGCAAAGGCGGGGAGCCGAGCTCGGCGGGCGAGGAAGAGCAGAAGGGCGAAGAAGGCTAAAAAACGTCCAGCCAATGCGAGGCGAGGTGAGCTAATTTAATTTGTTTTAAATGTTATAACCTTAAAACACATAAATACTTTAGGACGTGCCCGCCCGATTCTATTTTCGGCGTATTCGGGGCCGCTAACGACGGCGGAATACCTGAAAGTTCCGCCACTTTCCACGGTTGACGGGGAATCTGGGCCGAAGAAGGGGTCCAGGGAAAAGGTGAGTAATTTTTAGGGGAGTTGCGATTACGATGCTTAGCTTAGGCTTAGGCTTAGGCTTCTGCTTAGGTTTAGGCTTAGGCTTAGGCTTAGGCTTAAGCTTGGTTTAGGCTTAGGCTTAGGCTTAAGCTTGGCTTAGGCTTAGGTTAGGCTTAAGCTTAGGCTTAGGTTTAGGCGTAGGCTTAGGCTTAGGTTAGGCTTAGGCTTAGGCTTAGGCTTAGGCTTAGGTTTAGGCTTAGGCTTAGGCTTAGGCTTAGGCTTAAGCTTAGGCTTAGGTTTAGGCGTAGGCTTAGGCTTAGGTTAGGCTTAGGCTTAGGCTTAGGCTTAGGCTTAGGTTTAGGCTTAGGCTTAGGCTTAGGCTTAGGCTTAGGCTTAAGCTTGGCTTAGGCTTAGGCTTAGGCTTAGGCTTAGGCTTAAGCTTGGCTTAGGCTTAGGCTTAGGTTAGGCTTAGGCTTAGGCTTAGGTTTAGGCTGAGGTTTAGGCTTAGGCTTAGGCTTAGGCTTAGGTTTAGGCTTAGGCTTAGGCTTAAGCTTGGCTTAGGCTTAGGCTTAGGCTTAAGCTTGGCTTAGGCTTAGGTTAGGCTTAGGCTTAGGCTTTTAGGTTTAGGCGTAGGCTTAGGCTTAGGTTAGGCTTAGGCTTAGGCTTAGGCTTAGGCTTAGGTTTAGGCTTAGGCTTAGGCTTAGGCTTAGGCTTAGGCTTAAGCTTGGCTTAGGCTTAGGCTTAGGCTTAGGCTTAGGCTTAAGCTTGGCTTAGGCTTAGGCTTAGGTTAGGCTTAGGCTTAGGCTTAGGTTTAGGCTTAGGCTTAGGCTTAGGTTAGGCTTAGGCTTAGGCTTAGGCTTAGGCTGAGGTTTAGGCTTAGGCTTAGGCTTAGGCTTAGGCTTAAGCTTGGCTTAGGCTTAGGCTTAGGCTTAGGCTTAGGCTTAAGCTTGGCTTAAGCTTAGGTTTATGTTTAGGCTTGGTTTGTCGCTTTTCCAGGGCTTTCCGTACAAATAACTTTTTTCCAGATCCCGATCCGCCCACTAACCCCGATTCCGGACATTGGCCGCCAAAAATCCGCCCTCGAGCACCGCATCCAGGAGCTGAACCGCGAGCTGAGCAGGATCGAGGATGTAAATTTCATTTTCGAAACTTGTTAGCAATTTTAAGTGTTTTTACGCTTTTTTAGCGAATTTCACGGCGCTACGACTCGTCGGAGCAGAGCCTCGGCGATCGGATCGAATATGAGGAGCAGCGGGCGTTAAAGCGGAAATATCAGGTTGGCATGCCAGGGCAGGTTTTCAGAAAATCGCCGCCTGGCAGACTGGCAGAGGAAATTTGGGATCAGAAAATTTGATTTAATAGGAGGCGATTGACGAACTGGCCGACACGACCTCGCAGCCATTCATGTTGCCCCGCCATGCAATCGATATGAAATGGAGTCCGTTAAAGTACTATGTGAAGGATGGGATAATCTACGAAAGGATACAAGGGAGACGGTAGGCAGAGAGTTAGTGAAAGAGAGAGCGAAAGAAAGAGAGAGAGACAGAGAGAGACAGAGAGAGGGGGAGAAGTGAGCGAGAGAGCGGGAGTGCGAGAAAGAGGGAGAGTGAGAAAAGCGAGAGAGAGAGAGAGAGAGAGAGGGAGAGAGAGGAATTATTTTCAGCGTCTCCGGCGTCTCCACTCAAGACCGTGCCATCCCAATTCTCAGCCGTGAGGGCCAATTCATAGGCCCCAAACGGAAGGTGATCTCCGCCCCGTTAATCACCGAGGTCCAATGGACACCAAATAACGCTCAGAATTACGGATATGCCCTCCAGCGCAGCTCTACCGTATTCCAGGACCCGGACGATGGGCTTCAGGAGGTGATCACTCTTCTTTTCTTCCCTTTCTCTCTCTCTCTCTCTCACTCTCGCTATTTCTCTCACTTCCTCCTCTCCTAGCTGCTCACCGACATCGCCCCGCCGCCCAGCCAGTTCTTCCGGCCACCACCGGGTCCGGTACAGCCGGTGGCTACTCCTGTAGAGACTACCGTAATCCCACTACCGGAACACGTCGCCGTCACGGTGGATCAATTTCCGGAACCGGGACAGTAAGTCGGTTCGAAATCCGATAGAAAAACAGGAAACGTCGATGTTCATAAATTACCAAAATTCGACATTCAGAAATGTCGACCTTCTAAAATTTCGCCATTAGCAAATTTGACGTTCAAATATCTGAAATTTACAAAATTCCCTATTCTAAAATGCCAAGCATTTTTTATAATACGACCCATCTTGCTTGTAGAATGTTCGCCGACCCAAGTACCGTACCCCCAGCACCACCTGAAGCAGTCGATTGGCAACGGCCGGAAGCCGATATCGACGAGCATCCGTTGGATACGGTAGATACGGTAAGAGAACAAAATCATTTTTTTAACGAAAAATTTAGCCGGAATTGCGGAGGCCGTTTATGAACGCGACGCATGGGCAGAATTGCTACGCGAATCGGGATGGTAAGCTGTATTTTATGAAGCTTAGGCTTAGGCTTAGCTTAGGCTTAGGCTCAGGCTCAGGCTTAGGCATAGGCTTAGGCTTAGGCATAGGCTGGGCTTGCACGTTGACTTAACCTAGGCCTTGGCTTCGGCTTAGGCTTGTCTTCACCCGCTTTTCCAGGCTACATGTGCTGCAGCGAGCGGCTGGAGCTGATCATGCGCAAAAGCTTCCGGAAGCTGCGACGCCGCCTAGGGTTCCACGGCTGCTCGGTGCAACTGATCGCCAACCAGATCCAAAAAGACGCCGAGGCCACGTGGGTCGTGCTTTAGAATTCGCATACCTGCTGTAGATTCGGTGTCCCGTTCGAATCTGTCGTCGGCATCGACGACTTTGCCATCCGGGCCCATTTCGTGGGGGAATTGACGTGCAAAATCGAGCAGGACGGACGATTTGTGGCTGCATATGCGACGGCGACACCGGTAGGTGATGGAGGTTTTTAAGCTTAGACTTGGGCTTAGGCTTGGGCCTAAACTTAGGTAGGCTTAGGCTTGGGCTTGGGCTTAGGCTTAGGCTTAGGCTTAGGCTTAGGAGTTTAGGCTTAGGCTCAGGCTTAGGCTTGGGCTTAGGCTTAGGCTTGGCTTTATGCGGACGATGTCCAATCATTCTATTTTCAGGAAATCTTCCTCTCCAAAGCCTCGCGAAACATCGCCTACGAAGCGAAACCCCGCGTGACGCCGGCGCAAAACATCTCTGAAGCCGAACTGCTCGAGACCGAGCGGAACATTCAGGCCATTGCCGACCTCCTTCAGGGCGTCGACCAGCGGACTACGATGTAAATTTCGGGGTTACGATATACGATGACGATTTTAAGATTACATTTTTCGACATTGATCATCAGCGAAATTGTGATCCCCTAGTTTCTTTTAGTCTCATCCCGGAAGTGACAACTACAAGCCCACTCCCAGAGACCACCATAACTACCGAGAATCCGATAATTCCGGCTTTGAAGAAATTTTTCGACGCCGCGACGACGCCACGCTACGCCACGGACCAGCAGCTGTTCCCCTTTTATAAAAGAAAGCAGAAGGGCGTTCGAACTATGGTCGTCGATGAGCCGATACTGATTTCCGGGGACTTTCCCAGATTACTATAGCGTTAACAGTTTGTAGTAAATTCTCATCCATTTATCCTTTTTAGACGTATTGTAAGTTATATACTGAAATTATTTGTTATATCTTGTCAAATGTTTTTTTTCTAAATCCAGCCAACTCATTCCCCCGCTTGAACTTTGAACTTTATTGAATTCCTTGGCTTTCACGGGTGATAATTAGGTGCATTTTATTCATTTAAAGGAATAAATTAAAACCAATTGCGTATTTATAAACTCTTGGCCGGCTGTGCGTCGCGGCCGCGTTGCGGCACTGGAGACAAAATTACATCGCGTGTACGCGGCTTTTCTCTTTCTTTCTTTCATTTTTGTGTATTTCGCTTTGCCAAATATACGTTTATCCTTAAAGCTTTAATAAATTTAGTTAATAGACTCAAAAACGCCATTGCTGCTGTGAGATCGGCACACGCTGACGGGGGGATTGGGCTGATTTGGTCCCGTTTTCGGCAAAACAAGTGAAGTCAAGGCAAAAAGAGACGAAAATAAAGATTTGGCACTGGCAGATCACATTCCGGGGTCGATGATGATTTTGTATTAAAGCAAAGTGATGGGATTTGTAAAGCACGTTCGTAAAGGCTTGTAGGATAATAAATAAAAATAAAGGTGAAAAATGTAGAAAATGATAAAACGTTTAGTCTTCCTTCTTCGTTTGTTGTTTCGTTTTTGTGAGTCGTTTCCGGCGCTAAAATGGCGTGTTTTATTGTAATTTCAATCAATTAAATTGAAGGTTAATTCCTATCTATCTAAACATCTCATTAAACCTACGACTTCCTGCTCCTCGGCCTCGTCCTCGCTGTCGGAGCGCACATCGGCCGCCTCACCCTCCTGTATCGTCCGCACGACGATCTGAAAGGTGTTTGTAGGGTGATAGCCGGTTCTTTTGCATTATCCTGAACTAACTTTTTTTCCGTAAGTCCAGAAATTTTTAGTAACGTAATAGTAAGTGTTTCGATAGTGCTTTTAGCAAAATTTAACTCTATTTGAAGTGGAAAAAATTAAAAAACCTTATAATGAATGTTTAGTTAAGCTTTTAGTCGAAAAAACTTTTTTTAATTTCTAATCGAAAGTTTTGACGTTTTACCATAGTAAAAAAACAGTTGTTACATCAACAACAACATCGTCGCTTCCTCTATTTATCGTCGATATCCTCTTTTTACACCCACTTTTCCGATGATGTACGTCCAGAAGATGTGCAGCAGGAAGAGGGCGACCAACATGATGATGATCAGCCGCGGCACGTAGGGAACCTAAAAACCGGTCTATTTTCAAAAATTGTGTTCTTTCCCGTTGTCCCAAAAGTTCGCCTCCCCCCGATGTTGCAAAAGATCCCGAAATTTCCATACCTGCAACGGGTTGAAGATTTGATAGTCAGGCTGTATCAAGTCGGCCGCGTCAAAAAAGGCCGACCGGATGACGATGAGTGGATAGTAGGTGAGGCGGGTGAGAATCCAACTAGGTCGTTTTTTTCGTAATTTTAACCATTAAAAATTACCTGGACATGAACAACACGAAGCACACGTTGGTCAACATCTTGTGCTTTCCGGCGTAGCGTACAAGCTTGCCGCCCTCGAGGAACACATCGGCAATGTCATGCGACACGAGCACCAGGGTCCCGACCTAGAAAAAACGGTTTTTTACGTCGAAATGGATGAAGCCTATATTCTTCGGGTAAGAAACTATAGCAAACGAACCCGAACAAAATTGATGGCCCACGAGGCGGAGAGGAGGCCGAGCGTCACGACGTGGTGGAAGATCAACTGCCAAAAGTCGGAACGGCGCACGTCGAAAAATGCGCCGAGCAGCAGGGAGTAGTAGAATGTTGCCTCCAACGTGTAGTACCACCTATAAACAGAATTTTTATATTTTTTAAAGTTTCCTGCTTCTTTTCCATACTTATTTTTTTGAAAACACGGAAAAGCGGTTCTGGGCTGTTAGCAGGGGGGGGAGGGGGCTTAGGCGGTAAATCTGATTTTTCGGTAGGATTCTTTTTTCTAACATAAAGTTTTAAACTTTTTTTAGAAATCCTAGCGTCAAAACTGTACAAATTTTGTTTAAACAATTGCAACAACTATTTCGGCCAAAATAGCCGATTTCCAACAAAATTTTTTTAATAGAATTTCGATATATTTTCCGCTCGAAAAATGGCTAAATTCTAGTAAAACATGGATTAAAATACTTACTATTAAGTCACTACGCATCTATCTGCTTATACAAAAAATTTTATCCCCCCCCGATAATGCGAAAGCTCCGTTTCTCTTCTTATCTTCTCAAAAAAAACGGTGCAAAAAAGCAAGCCACCGGAAACCGTCCAATAAGGGCCGCGTTCGCGCTTTTGCAATCTTCTGTTTTTTGGCCTTATCAAAGGTTGAATACGCTTTGCAGCAATCTTTATAACCACGAATTGCCCCTCCTCCAGCCCAAAGACCAAAAACGCACCAAACCGATCGCGGGATCTCGTGAAACGGGTACCCGATCCAGCATTCTTTCACGTCCCACAGCCACGGCTTATCCTAGACGAGCAAAACTACATTTCAACAACATGAATATACCCATAAAACGAAGATGCCGTAGATCCAGGCGGCCGTGTAGAAGCTGAAGCGCCAAAAACACTCCAGCACACGCTTTTGGCGCGTGTTTCTGAAAATTCACGGTAACTTGCGTTATAGTAGTGTTTTATTACAATTTAGCCATATATTAAACGGAAAAACAAAAACCCAGGATTTATGAAACGAATTTTGGTTTCTAATTATGTGACTCTACAGGGTGTTCCAAAAGTTCTGGCAAAATGTTTTTGGTCGTAAAATGGCTCAGAAATCTCGGATGCCAATGAAACTGTTGTACCTTATTAGTTACGATCCACACTTTAATGTGGCAAAAATAAGTTTTGAAAAAATTCACTTTTGAATTTGGTAGGGGGTATAATATCTCCAATTCAAAATGGCCACGGCACGGCCCCTTTTGCTGACATATCACTCCGGAGCTTTCCAGCCATGCTTCCGATTCGTATCATATTTGAATAACAGGTAGTCCGAGGCACCACCTACGTTATCCATAGTCAGAAACAAACTTATTACCACGGATGCGCAAGTCAGCGCGGGTTTAATTTCTCGGCAAAAACAGCCTTCGCCCAAAGCCGAGGTTTTGCCAATTTTTCTTGCGACCCAAATTGGTATGCATGAGGGCCGGGCCGCTTACATAAGCCTAGGCATACACATATGGGTTAGTATTCCCATAAAACACCACTTAAAAATTTCCAATTGTTTATCTGATTTTTTTAAATAGCCAAACATTCGATAAACGCACGGCACGCACCGAATTCTCCAGTTGGGCTTGATTTGTCAAGTGTTTGAGGCAAAATTATTTGTGTATTTGGCATGCTTTTGGTTTTCCCCATTGCCTGGCATCAGTAGCAAAAGAGACCAACAACTCACGTTTCGATGCTGAAGTGAAATCGCGGTGAAAAGTTAGCCCTTGCTTACAACATAGCTTACAAAAACGGATTGTAAATCGATGCCGTGCTCGTCATTTTATCGATCCAACCTAACTTTTTTTTGGCCAATTCGTTACATTACCGTTAGCCTAACATGACAAATAACCCATAAAGGTGACAGGATCGCAGGCGTGCAAGCGATAGCATTTTGCCAGAACTTTTGGAACACCCTGTAGGTAAAAAGGTGAATTTTTGGTCGAAATATCGATATTTTTGTATTTAAACCAAAATTTCTAAGTTTTTACGTTTAGAAATAGTAAAATCGGTTTATGATTTATGGCATAGAAATTGGATCCTTAGGAAAACGTCCGTCCCCCCACGATAATGCCAAGGAACCTTATGCTTTCTTGATATTACGATTTTCGAAGTGATTACTGTTCCAAGCACCGATTTTCGAAAATCTGCGTTTTCGAAGTAATGACGTTTCCGCAAAAAAAAATTACTGAACTTGATCTTGAAATTCTCGAGACTTTTTCAGCGGTGTTTCGCAAGGCTGGAAAGAGCAAGACATCTCATCGCCCCATGACTCAACCCCCGATGACAAATATGGTCTGGCTGGCGGGCGTTGTGCGCTTTTTACGGCCCAGCGCTAGAGATCAGAATGTTGGACACAATTTTTGGGGTGCCCCGGGCGTTTTTGTGATTTCGTGAGACATAAAAACATAGACGCGCCAGCAGACCAGTAAATGACACATGCAAGTCAGAACTCCTCGTCAAGCTCCATTTTAAGAGTGAAAAACGCGGAGAAAATAATTTTTTTGTGATTTTGGAGACTTTAGAAGTCAATAAGCAAATCCTTTAAAGTCTAAAATATCAGAATCATACCTCGCGAAACCGCCAAAAATGTGTTGCGTCGAATTGGCGAGCCAGGGGCCCTTGTTGTAGCCGAAGAGGTGGCTCAGGGGGATACCTATACAAACAGGATTTTTCGGAGATTTTAAAGATTTCCTTTTTATGTTACTTTTGCATGCTTAGTTAAAGAAATTAGTGTATTTTATATTGTTTTTAGGCGTTTCCAATGAACAAGCCGCTTTCAAAACTATTCAAAATTTTAAAAAGTTTCTGGAAGTTTTCTGAAGGTTTTTAGGCATTTCCCTAGCATCCCAAGTTCTAGGCTTCGCGCGCAACAGCTCAACGTGTTCGGTGGAGCACCGCGTTTTCGGAGACTCGGCTACAAGAGGCTACACCGTACGCATATACCCTGTGCGCTCATTGTATTGCTCGGATTTGTTCTCTTTTTTGCATGTGATCTTCGTTGTTTTCTAAGCATTGTGTGTTCAGTGGAGCATCGCGTAGCCTACGAGAGGCTACCCTGTACGCGGGTGCCCTGCGCGCTCAATGCATTTTCTTGATTTCTCCGTTTTTGGCATGCGTTTTGGCCGGTTCGGCTCGTATTTACAGTTTAGCCCTTGTGTTCACCCACCAACAAGACCCTCCCACAAAATGCGGAACAGCACACAGGGCATTGCATAATATAGGGGATAGAGAAGGTCGGCGGCGTTGGCCGGCACGCCCGCCCATGTGACGTTACGCGGCAGCCATAGTGCTGCGTCGAATAACGCGGCCATCTAGCAAAATGAATCGAATCAATCGATAAAATCTGGTGGGGTTGGGCACAGAAAAGTAACGGACGAAATATTGGAGGACAATCACAATTGGACGCTAAAAGTTTAAAAACCTCAGACGTTTCAGAAAATCTAATAAACTTCTTCAATTCGAAATTTTACTCAAAAAATTGCCATTTTTGTATTTTTTATAAAAATTTGTAAAGTTTTTGGGTTTAGAAATAGTAAAAAAAGAGGCTTCGGAATAATATTCATTTGGATACTAAAGAAAAAGTTACCCAGTAAAGTAAAGTAAAGTAAAAAAGCAAAAGTTGCTTCCCCCGATAATGCAAAAGAGCCGTGGCTGGAAAGCAGACTAATCTACCTGAATTGTAGATTAGGTATCGACAGCTACGCATCACGCCAATGCACGCGTATCCCCTAGGAATCTAGCCCGGTTTTAGGTGTGCCTAGGAGCGTCGTTAGCTTTTGGCATACCGTCTAAAGGGAGATTTTTGAAGCTTCCAAACGCCTTTAGAATGTTGACATTTGGAAAGACAGGATCGCTAATTTGGTCCCGAATGCAGCAAGTTTTTGTTTTGGTTCTACAGAAAATGATTTTGGATGCAAATCCGTCCGGTCTGAAAGCGTCGAAAAGCTAGCGTGAATGCTGGTCGCTGAACATGTAACTTGCGGCTTTTCACGCCCCGGGTCCAGCTGTGATAACAACGAGAGAGAGAGAGAGAGAGATAGAGAGAGCGATAGATAAGGGCACAGGCTGGAGTTGGCCTCGACCGCTTTAATAGTCGCCGCGCTCGCCTTGGCCATCTACCGAAACTTAACGAGCCGGGAAATGGACTGAAACCGCAAGTCAGGAATCGGCATGAATTGGTATTTAAGGTACAGAATTTAACGGGGCGTTATAATTCTGATGAATCAAAGGAGGCTTAACGGCAGAATCATCAGCTTATGAAACTGCTGATACGTATATTACTCCACTATCGATATTAAGTCAGAAGGTGAGCCAAAATTAAGGTAGAAAATCGAAAAAAGCTATAAAAATCTAAGATTTGTTCCGCAGTGGCTAGCCGGAAAAACGTTACTATTACTTTCAAGCGCATTACTGTTACACGATTTCAAAAAGCAAAAAAGTGAATATTTTTTTAGTTTTTTGCAAAAAAAAAATAGCTTAAATTTTCCTTTTCCTTTTTTTCATTCTTTTTTGTTCGGTAGGTTTCATTAGCCTCTAAATCCATTTCAAAACATTTTCCGTTCCTTTTGGGTACAAAAACATACTACAAATTGAAAATGTTCGATTTTTGGTGGACAATGCAGGAAAAAGAGCCAAAAAATCTAACTTTTAATTTTCTCGAAAATTCATGACGTATTTCCAGCGTTAAGCCCCTAAAATCACTCTAAAAATGGTAATCTCGACAAAATGGTGAATTTTTAAGTGATTTACGTGAATAGATTAAGCAAATTCACAATAAATTAAAATCCAGAAGCGTGACGCGTACAGTCCCGCAGCAATAACATTCCTGAAATTGAGCCGGAAAGTCGGAAAATTCGGCTCTCCTGGAGGCAGCCATTTGGCTGGAGGTTAGTGGGCCAGTCGGGGGGTAGAATGGGGGGATGGGGATAATTATGCGAAGCGCACTGGTCAGCGCGTTGGCCGAAAATTGGTGTGTCTGTGTACTGGAGGGTTTCTAGCGGGGGAAGCGGGGAAAGGTGGGTCGTGTGTCGAGCCCTCATCTCCCCCCCGGCGAGAGATGGTGGCCCAGGTGAGAGAGAGAGAGCGAGAGACAGAGAGAGAGAGAGAGAGAGAGAGAGAGAGAGAGAGAAATAGACAGAAGCCCTGCGTGCACGCTGGCCCCACTGACACAACAACACCAATCCGGGATTCGTTAGGGCCCCCCGGGTTGGCCACGTGGTAACAATTTTTGTGTTTGGGTTTTGGATTTTTAAAGGGGCGAGCAAGACCGAGAATGTATTTTTATAGTGAATTTCAATTCGTGATTCTGATTTTGAAGAATCCAATTCAAAAAATCCAGCGCCATTCCTTGCTCCTCCCTTTAATACAAAAAAAAACTAAAAAATTGAAGCCACAAGAGTACTCGATGATACGTCAACACTCACCGACACAAGCCTCCCAAAACAACCGAAATACGAGCATCGGAAAGGCCCAGTAGAGCGTGCGAAAAATATCGAGGACACTGTAGTCGCCGGCATCCTGGAAATAGAGGACTCGACAATACAGCATTTTCGGCTAAGAATTTTATTCGATTTTCCGTAGCCCGCGACACGCGACGCGCACGCGGACGCAAGGAGGGACTCTGTGCGTCACGTAGGCGGACGAGAAAATTTGATAGTCGTGGCCTTGCTCGACTAAACGGTGCGCGCCAAAAATTTTGCATTAGAATTTGCGAGTGCTAAAATTTCCTTTTAAAGGGATCGGAAAGGCACGATTTTGGATTTTTTTTTTGCTATGGATTCCTGCTGGATTCCATGTCCACAACGCGCGGCACGCAACGCGCACGCCGCCCCCGGCAAAGGGCTGTATTTCATTACGCAACGAAAAGTAGCGTAGCTGATCGGAGAGCCTTAAAAATCCATAAAGAATCCATAACCACGCCTTGTCTGTCCCTTTAGAAGGCATTCTCTCTTCAGATGAATCTAAAAGCGCTTGCTCACCTCGTACTGCGCCCACGTCATATTCTCCTTGATCCAGTAGCGCGCGTTCAGTACGTCCATCTCTGAGGAATTAATATAAGCTTAAGGGCTTGTAAAAAGTAGCAAAAATGAATAGGGAATACCAACAGCTTGGAAGCAGTTATTTTAATGCTCTGAAAAAATCCATTTTAGGGAACTGTTGGGGTTGAGAGGATTGTGTTGCCTGGACTATTTCAAAGGAATGGGAGTGCACCCTTAGCCCATGTTCAAATATCCGAAAGCAAATATTTTACCAATATT